TTTCCTATCTCTTTGTTGAAGTTCTCACTGAGATCACTAAGCATCCTTATAACTGGTGTTTTGAGCTCTGCATCTGGTAGACTACTTTTCTCCATTTTTTTCAGTTCTTTTTCTGGAGGTTTGTTCTGTTCTTTCATTTGGGACATATCTGTCTCCCCATTTTGGCTGCCGCCCTGTGTTTCTATATAGTAGGTAGAGCTTCTATGTCTCCCAGTCTTGGGAGAGTGTCTTTATGTAGCAGATGTTCTGTGGGGCCCAGTGGTGCCGTCTCCCCGGTCACCTGAGCTGGGTGCTCCAGGTGTGTCCCTTGTGTGGGTTGTGTGTGCCCTCCTGTTGTAGTTGACCCTGGTTGCTGTCTGCATGTCAATGGAAGGGATTGTCCCTTTGGCTCACTGGTTATAAGGACTGGCTGTGACGCTAGTGGAGGAGGTTTTGTGCAGAGGCTGACCCTATAGAGCAGGATTCACGATAGCAGGGCTCTGGTGCCTTCCGGTCTGTCCTTTGGGTGTGACTTTTTGTGGAGGTGATTGAGTGGTGCTCTGATGTGGTCTGAATCTGGTCACCAGGTTTGTTGGCTCTGGGCCTCTTGGAAGGGGCTGTGTTGCAGGCCAAGGTCAGCTGCTGCCTGTGCCCTGCCAGGGGCCACTTGGTATGAGCTACAAAGTGACCTGAAGATCACTTGCCCTGGGCTTGGTGGTGCCTAGGAGAGGCTAAGCTGTGAATTGAGGCCGATGCTGCTAGTGCCAGGCTTGCGGTTGCTTAGCAAGAGGTATGCGGCACACTGAAGCCAGATGCTGCTTGTTTGGAGTTTGTGAACTTTTGAGAGAGTTTAGGAAAGTCCTCAGCATGAACCAAGACAGGCAATTTGTATGGAAAAGCCACTGCAAGCTGCTTGGGTGGGTCCACAGTTGGGTGTGGTGGGATATCAGGGAATCACCAGGGTGGGGCGAATGGTGTTAGCCAGGTGGGTGGAGACTCAGATATGGCGGCTGCCTATGTCTGCATGCTGGGTGAGGGAAGGACTCAACAAAGGAACTATGGCTTCTGCCAGCACTTCTGTATGGAAGATAGCTGCCCCCCCAGCCCTTGCCCTGAGCCAGACAATTCAGTTCCTCCTCATGTGTCCCTAGTGCCTCTTGAGCTGCTGCCCCAGCGCTGGAGCTCAGAGCAAGTGAGTCCGTCAGTGAGTAAGTCTATGGTGCAGGCCCTCCAAGAGGAGTACCTGGGACTGCAGCTGCCCTCGGGCTCACTCAGCCACAATCTCCACTGGTTTTCACAGCCAGAAGTTGTGGGGACTTCTCTTCCCAGCACTGAAACCCTGGGCTGGGGAGGAGCTGGGGCTCCTTGCTCTCCAGGGAGACCTCTGCAGCCGAGATATCCCTCCCAGTTTTTAATGGTCACACATGGGTGTGGGACCAGCCTGTTCCTCATCTCTGCCCCACCTATCAGTCTCGAGGTGGCTTCTTGTCTACTCTTAGTTATAGAACTTCTGTTCAGCTAAACTTCAGGCAATTATCAATCATGGTTGTTCTGTAGTTCAGTTGTAATTGATGTGGTCATGAAATGAGGCAAGCACAGCGATGACCTACTCTGCCATCTTGACTGGAACAACCTCTTCTGGGCAATTTTAAAAATTATTAATGGTGGGACCTCGCTCCAGACAACTGGATGAGAGTATTAGGGTTGAGACCTGGTCATCTTTTTTCTTCTTTTGTAATTCCCCAAAGACCCTGCTGAAGAACCCCTGGCCTGGTAACAAGAAGGCACAGTACTATGTCTTGCTGGCTTTGGCCTGTTCATCCATCCAGGGGCCTTCGTTTCCTATTTGTCAGCACAAATCATTCCTGCCTACAGGAGACAGGGATGAGGAGGTGGGCACAGCCACTTGCAGTGATGCCCTGAGGTGCTGTCTTAAAAACACTGCAAATTCTGAGTAATTCCAGGAAGTGCAGGCTAGATGGAGAAGTCTTTTCCTGTAAGAAAGTGAGGTGAGCTGGATTTGGATAAATGCCACAGGTTGGTTTGGGGAAGCTGGAGGAAAAAAAATTTTTTTCCTGCTTTAATCGTCAGGCCAGCTTGGATTCAAATGCAATTCAAGTTCCTCAGATCTCCATTAGCTGTGATTAAGGGGAAAAGGAAGGAAGAAACTGGACAAATCCCTGAGCTTCAGGGCCTCAACGTAAGAGCCCAGCTCGCACTAAGAGGGGGCAGGGAGACATGCTGTTGGTGCCAGAAGGGCCACTTCTGTAAGTGCTAAGTTATGTAGAGCCACCCTCTTCTGCAGGGAGAGGCATACCTGTTTGCTCTCCTTGAGGCTGATTCCTTCTGTGGATGAGAACAAACAGCCAAAGCCACCAGCTTTCTCTAGGCCCAGCCACCATATCCGTCACACATTTTCTCCACCTTAATTCAGGGGAGCAGGGGTGATGGTAGAAGGAAGGAAAGCCCCTTCTCTCCTGGCCATCAGTTTTGAAGACACAACTTCTCCAGTGTCATCATGTCTCCAGAAAGAGGGGGCTATGAGAACCTGGCCTGCCCACTTTAGGGGAAGGAGTTAGAACAGAGGTGGTCCTTGCTGGGACACAAGCATGAATGCAGGTGGCCTCAGAGAGCACTGGTCCTCTATGGGGGGGACCCGGAGGTCTGTGTGCACTTAGATGCTTGCTGTTGCTCCCTTGGAGAGCCTACCTCCCTTCCCCTCCCCCACAGCCTTCATCTCTGTCTTTGTAACCCTTTCTTGCATTCATGACTGAATTGCTTAGGCTCTGCCTTCCCCACAAAGCTCTTCCAAACCCACTCCAAGGAGTTTGGCTCTATCCCTATGCCTCAGCCCAATTTGTTGTTTTCTTCGCACATACAGTAGAACCTTGGATTGTGAGTAACGTGGTTTGCGAGTGTTTTGCAAGACGAGCAAACATTTCTATTACATTTTAACGTGATAAACGAGCGATGTCTTGCAATACGAGTCGTTTGTTTCCGGAATGAATTATGCTCGCAAACCAAGGTATTACTGTATATGTATCTCCCATTAGACTGGGAAAAATGAGTCCTGAAGGCAGGGACCAGGTGTGGAACAAGGATCACTGACAATGGGGTGGATGGCTGGAAGGAAAGGAGGGAGACATTTCAGTGCCCTGACAGCCTCGGTCCTGAGTAGGCTACAAGTGAGATGGTTTCTAACTGGGTGGCAGAGTTTCTTTGACAGCAAGTGGTCCTGCCCCAGGCACCGGAATCTATATGGGCCATCAGTTCCAAGAATCTCCTTTTCTTTTCGCAAGGCTTGTGAGTCCATGGAGACTGAACTCAGTACCCTAGGATGAGTTAGGTCCTTCTGCCCATGCCCAGGATAGGAGGTTGCTCAGCCTATGCTGGACCAGGTAACATCAAGGACTGGGCCTGTGCCAGGCACAGGAAAACTGAGGGCCTCCCAGAGAAGGCTGACCATCAGGCCTCGCATCGCTGCCTCAGCTGCCCACCCCTACTCAAGTGCCCAAGACCCTAAGATCAAGACACAGCCCAGCACTAGTATGTAGTGGGGAAGGGAGAAGAGAATCAAAGCCAGACACTGCTGCTGAGAAGCTCACAAGCCAGCGGGGGAGAGCCTTTCACAGGTGTTACCACCAGTGCAGAGAGTGCTGCCTCCCAGGAAGGCGCAGGGCATGGCCGGGGCAGAGGGAAAGGACGATGGACGCTGCCCTGGGTAGGGACAGCTGGAGGAAGTTAGGAGCGAGCACGAAGGTTGAGGGGCCAAACACTGCAGACCACTGCCTTGGGAAAATGCCAAGATGGGAAATGGATGGCCTCTACGTGTCACCAGGCCTGGCTTGCTTTTTCCTCCTCTCCCCTTCCCAGAGACTCCGAGTGCATGCTTTTAAGAAGTCCTCTTTCCTTCTCTTCTCAGTGGAGGTGTGAGCAGAGACTGGATTGGCGTCCCCAGGAAGCTGTATAAACCAGGTGCCAAGGAGCCCCACTGCGTCTGTGTGAGAACAACTGGCCCCCCAAGCGACCAGACGCTGGACAATCCTACACACAGAAATCGTGGGGACTTGGACCACCCCAGCCTGGGGGAATACGCAGGCTGCCCACCTCTGGCCATCACATGCTCCATCCCACCCTAAGCTGGTACTCTTTTGTGGAAACCCCACAGAGATCCCTGCCTAGCACCGCAGCAGGCCCTTGACTCATGTGCCCTAGGATGGTTCCCGGCATCAAACAAGAGGGCCTGGAAGGACCCTGGCTTCTGCAGATGGGCCTGGTGCCTCCTCACTAGCGGCTCACCATTCTGGTGACTGAGGCCGGAGCTTGGCGGCCCGCCTGGTACTGGCCAGCCCGTATTCTCTACATCTACTTGCCACCCTCCTTCAGAGCCCTCAGATATGAATGAGTAAAATATGACCATCTCAAAACTAACTTGACAGACAAGCAAAGGGCTCTGAGCTCCAACAGCTTTCTTCCCATGAACTCCTAGGCTGCCCAGCTCAGCAGCTGGCTTGGGCCCTACCTACAACCCCCAACCCGGTTGGGGGCACGGGCAAAAAGGGACATCATTCCCTTAGAACTCAGAAACAAGCAGATGCATCCAGAAAAGACAGACAAATGAACGGCATCAACATAAAACTCTGTTCCAAGTTCCTCATTGGCTAAACTTGTGACCCCTGATTTTTATAACCTTTCTTACATGTAAGACCTTTACCCTAAGGCAACAAATTTACAACCAAAAGCCACATTGAGTTGATTTGAGCTGGGCCAATACAGTGAGAGGTGACAATAAAATAGGATAGAGTTAATTCTGGAAACTGGCAAAGCTTTTGTTTACACGGATGCAACAAATCCTGATGCTTTTGAACAAAGCCACAATTTAAAGCAAGGCTAGTTTCTCTTTTAAACACTTAAATCAGTGCGGTGCGTTTTCAAAGGGAGAAGTCTGCATTTTGAGCAAAAGGTGGTTTCACATCTCTAACAAGGTAACTTATTAGCACAACATCAAAGATTGGGCAAGGCTGCAAACCCCAATCCAAACAGCCTCAACTTCGCAGTGGCCAGGCTTGCAGCTTTTCCAGTGGGTTGCGCGTCCAAGGTCATCTGTAATCTACACAAGGTCATCTGAGAAATTTCATACCCATTACCTCTTGGATTCTTAAGTAGGTGGGGCAAGGAGTGTTCCTACTTTACAGATAAGGAAACGAAGCTTGGAGCTATCACAGATTCATGGGCTCCTTATCTGAGACTTGACCTCCTTTCCCGGTCCCCTCAACTCTTGTTCTATTCTATCCTTCTTCCTCTCTCTCTTTTCTCTCCTTTATCATTAATCTCACTAAATAGCTTTCCAGATTCGCTCACTAGAAAATGGGGGCTGCCTCCCCTTCAGCAGACTCGTGGTTCACTGCCCTTGTGGCCAGCTGTTCCTTACACCTGGACTCTGCTCTTCACCCCTTCTGTCACCCCAGGATCTTCCTCACCTTTCACCTCTCCCTGCCTCCTGGCTCTTCCTCCTAAGTACGCATTAAACAGCTCCCTTCCTTCCCATCATAAACTAAACGCTCTTCCTCCATACCACATTCTTCTGCAGTGCCTCGTCCATTTCCCGCCACAGCTTTCCCTTTGCTCCTCAGCCCCCGTTCGCCCGGCTTCCGCCCTTCTCTGAACAACAGGATAAATTCTGTATTGGCAAGTCCCGTTCCTTGAAAGCCTCCTCTGCTCCATGAAGCTCTTCCCCCTAGTTCTTCGCACTCCTCCAGCTGCCGCTTAGACTGCTGCCAAATCTGTGCATAGTCCAGGCGGCCTTCCCAGCATCTCTGTGGGCACTTCACCTCCACATTCCCAGCATTCAGTCTTCATCTTCTCCCTCTGATTCTTCTAGGTCCACTGTCACCATCCACACCCAATCACAAGAATCCTGGCGATCATCCACAGCTCCTTCCTCTCCTGTCCCCTCCTCCCCACCCACCGCCAAGTTCTCTCTCTCTCTCCCTCTTTCTCTCTGATTCCTGCAGGAGTCTGACTGCCCACCCTCCATACTGCTGGAGTCATCTTGCTCCAAGGCCAGGGCATCCCCATTCGAATGCCTCAGTGGCTCCCTCTACCGGGAAGGATCCAGTTTCCGCCTCCTCTCAGGCTGTCTCGTGCACCGCCTCCCATGTGCACCGCCTCCCGTGTGCACCGTTCCCTCCAGCCTCCATCTCCCTGCACTATTCCTACAATGCCTTCACCCAGGCTGTCCCTTCTGCCTGGAATGACACCTTCCTCCACTCAATTTACCCACTTCTCATCTCTTCAAAACTCAGCTCCATCAGCACCTCCTGCAAGCTTTCCTTGGCCCACCAGTTGGATTTAGATGCACTTACCCCGAGGTTCCCATAACACAGGCTCCACGTGTTTACTTCTCAGGTAACAAATATCAGCGTTCTGTAACCATGGATTTCCTGTCAGCCTCTCACACTGGACTGCAGCCTGAGAACACGGACCGAGGGTTAGTTGGTTTTGTACCCCTAAATCTACAGTACCTAGCACATCGTGGGAAGTGCAGTTAGGTGTTATTTTGGAGATGAGGCAGCCAAGGCCCTAAGAACTTAGTAAGGGCATGGGGCAATGGAGCTGAGCCTAGAATTCAAGGTCCTTGTCCTGATTCAGTGCCACTTTCACTTCTCTAGTTCGGAGTGTCTCTGCCCTCCCTGGAGCAGGAGTAAACAGAAAGGAGGGCTGAGACGAGGACCTTGTTCCGAGTTCACACAGCCCTTGAGCGCAGTGCCTGCGGCATTTCTGGTAACTAGTCACTGCCGCTGAGGTGCCATGGGGTGGGGCATGGGAGGAAAGCGAGGCTCCTGACCTTGAGAAGCTTACAGAATGGAGTGAACCCCTGGTTGGAGCACCCATTCATGGCGTAGAAATGCAGGAAAAGTGTGGGGGCGCAGGTCCAGACATGTTCTGACTCTTCCAAAAAGAAAAGATCTCTTCTGAAAAAGAAAAGGAGCAAAACAAGGTACCCTGAGTCCTCCCAGCCAAGTGTGGACTTGGGAGGCACCTAGAGGTTGCCTGATCTCTACCGGATGAAGACCCCTGAACCCACAGTGCAGGACACACCGGGCCAAGCCTCAACAGGCCGCTGGCTGCCTCACTCAATGAGAATTCATTTTCTCTTTCAGGCCAACCACTTATTTTACAGTAAAGAGCCTCCTCACGTTGGGGCACTGGATGAATCTCCAAGTGATTCAGCAAAAGTAGGTTGTCATTTTAATGGTCCCAAGGGCTAAGTCATGGGGAGTGGTTACTGGAGAACTGCCCCTCCTTTTTCTCTCCAGCAGAGGGGGCCCTGGGCAGAACCACGAGAGGAAGGCAGGCCCTCTCTGATGGAAACAACAGAAAGTTCAGCTCAGGCAATTATGGCGCTGGCAGAGGGAAATGGAGAAGAAAACTAACAGTGTTGGGCAACTATCCTGGGCAGGGAGCTTTATCAGTTCTCATTTAACCTCCATGCCAGCCTTGAGGGTCTCATTTTATGGCCCAGAAAGGGGCATAAATATCCCACTGCCCCCCCACCTTCTAGCGTTTACAACAGCCATTGTACAACAGAGCTGAGCTTTTTACCCAAGTCCGCTCCCTCTGCCACACCGGTGAGCAGTTAAAAGCAAAGGCTGGCCAGCTGCCCTCCAACGTGCTGAAGGAAACTCACATCTGCCTCTGAATTCTGAGATGCCAGTTTTCTGTGAACACAGAACTAAGAGAGCCCAGGATTTTGGTCACAGCTCAGTCACTGCATGGCTGTACAACCAAGGGAGCGGTATCTGACCATCAGCCCTTCCCTTCCTTGCTTAGCTCCAGGACAGGCTGTGATCTGAGACAGACACCCTTGGGCAGGTTGGAGCTGATTATTTAGGAATCTGCAGTGCCCTAGAGGATGACGACCCTGGGCTGAACCCCCACCCTTGAGATCACTTTCTATTGCCAGAGCCCCCAGATTCCTACAAGTAGGCAGCGGACACTGCTTCCATCAGCCCTCACTGGAGAGGACTCTTGGTGTGCACACTAGAATCTGTGTACTTGTATGAGAGGAAGGATATATTACTGATCACCTTCCTCACGGCAACCCTGTCAGCTAAACATGACCACAGTCACTTCCATTTTACAGATCCAGAAGCTAAGATACAGAAATTACGAAACTTGCCCAGTACCATCAGCTAATCAATGACAAAGCAGAACTAAAACCCAGTGGTCTTCCCTGGCTGGGTGAAATGTGAAAGCTGACGTGTGTCTGGTTCCTGTTTGTACTCATATTATGACATAATATGACCAGTTTGCCTTACGGACAGCTATTAGGGTTACTTGGGACTGTTCTGTGGGAGCACTTGACAGTTTCCATTAACTGTGAGAAAAGCCACCAGAGAATGAGATCTACCTCCACGGCTGGTCTGAACCAGGGGTAAGCAAAATGGAAGGCAGGTAAAGGAAGGAAATGCATTAGCTCAAGAAGTGAGGGCCAAGTGAGCTACTAGATTTGTACGATTGTACAGGGGCTTTATGGATCAGTAGATTTTAACATGCAAGCCCCTAAACCCTCCTTATTATTCTCTGAAACCCAACAGTGCCAGTCCTCCCTTCAGATTGTGACTAGCGGAGACATCATGGGCACACCCTCTTGAGGTGCTCCTCAATAATGGAGCCACAGAGAGAAGTTCCAGGGTCCTCTGGAGAGTATCAGTGGGGTCAATGGCTGAGACTGTGGCTGTGATCACACACATGAGCTGAAGTCGGGGCCAGGGGCACAGTAAATCCAGGCAGCTGGTCATGATGTCGAAAATATCTGTTTCACTACCGTCAACAATGTGTTTCTGAAAAGTGCTAGAAATTCAAACTTTCCTAGAGGGTAGCCGTTATTTTATTCACATCAGGAGTTTAAAAAATGTGTTTGTTTGTTTTTAATGCTTATTGGTACTTCCACATTAAAAGAACTACAAATGTCTTATTAAAGTTTCCACTTTAAATGCACAATTTTACTTCATTTTATTATAAGGAGTTGTTACAGAAAATGCAAATATCAGTATTTGAAAAATACATTCCATTACACAGACTCCAAAGAAACAATGCTGAGAAGCGCCATGGTCCTCCTATACGATGCCATCATCCCACACGCAGCACCACCCCACATGGCTTGAAAGCCAAGGTGAGCAACCCAAATGTGTGCCTGCAGTTTCTACCCAGCCACTACTGCCTTTCCCCTCGGTATCACACAGTATGTCATGGTAACAGCCAGCTGTACACATCTACCAAAAAAAGACAAGTCATTAAGTGGAACACTGCCGATCTGAGCCTTCCTCGCTACAGAAAACCAGTGTCGTCTGTTGTAACAGGTTAATATATTATTTATGCCACACACAAAAGGAACCGTACAGGCAATGATCTTCCAAAGAAAGTCTTTAAGGCATCTATGATAACTTCTGGGAATTGAATAAGTGTTTAGTTTATATCTTGTCAAACAATCAGCTCTTCACTGAATGACTTCCATAAAATGAGAATGCAGTTTCCAAACCTCTTCAGAAAGCTGTTTGCCCTCTGCTCCCTCCTCTCCCCGGCGGGGTGGGGGGCTTCTGTGCTTCAGGTTAGGAGCTGCTGGGCTTGCCAGCCCTGTGCCCAATTCTTCTGGGGCAGGTCCTGAGGGAGGCCATCCTGGTCCTGGGAGAAAGCTTGTTTCAGGCGCTCCTTCGGGCTCACCCTGCAAGCTCCAAGTGGGTCTGTTCGTGAAGAGCTCCATTTCCTTGTTCAGGCTCCTGTCACCTGGGGAGTTAGTTTGCCTTTCAGGTGCAAGCATTACACAGTCCAACAGTGTTCTTTTTCTCCGGATGAATGAAACCTAGGTGGAGTCCAGGCTCTCCCCGCTCCCCGGACTTTCCCTCCACTTCATGCCTATGGACATGGTTAGCACAACACCGTTCAGTACAGCAGGTGGGGGACGTGAACTGGGAGTGGTGGTGAACCTGCACGCACGCTGAGCTCCATGCAGGGACCCCATTCAGGAGAAGACTGAGGAAGCTGAACAGGGCAGTCAGAAATGACTCAGGGCTCTGAGGTAGAGGGCTAACAGTCACAGGGACCCCACTCCTGGAGAGAGTATGGCAGGTGAACTGGGCAATCTAATCCCGCTTCGACTATACTGGTGGTTGGGTGGGGGGAGGGACAGTGCACAGGCAACAAACTCCAAATGCAACACATGTTCTAACACATCATTCTGTGAGACACCATTAAAAAAGGTAACTGAAAATTAAAAAGTCCTACGTGTAGGCACTTAAGTTTATGGGAAATTCCTGTGTTAGAGGATCATAGCAAGTTAGTTTTAGCTATTCGATTTATATATAGCACATGGTTTGTACCTTTCTCTTAAAAAAAAAATTTGTTAGGAATACACTGTATAGTATATCTGGTGATGAGCAAGATCAGTTAAAGAGCTAATTCAGCTTAACAATGTTGACGGATGCAGCAAATCATATTAGGCAAAGTTTATTTTTCCTGTTCTACAATTGGCAACTTTCTAAATGAATAAAATCGAGTTTTTGCTCCTAGTATTTAAGCTACAGATTAAAATTTAACAAGAACAGCTAGGCAGTTCTGTAGTCAAGTCCTGTCAGCTTGGAGAGCACAAAGGGGACCGAATGTGTCAGGTCCCAGCCGGGGCAGTGTCTGGGGCGACCCACCAGGGCAGCCCCCACTCCAGGAACCTGGTGAGTACGTCCCCGTAAGAAGCATCAGCGGGGGTCAGGGAGATTTCCTAAGGCTGTGGAAAGGGGCTATTTCTAGCTCTACAAGGATGCACCCTGAAGCCAATGCAGAACTCACACAATGTTCCTTAACCCATGGCTGCTCAGTACCACAGCTATCCCTGGACTCGACAAATCAGAAGCGTGACTCAACATATTTTAAACATGATTTTAAGTGCAATTAGAGGCAAGATTGTTATTAAAATTGGTCTGGCAGGGCAGGGGCAGGACAATCAGCCTCATCCCCAACTGAATTCCTGTCCTCCTCTCTCCACCATGAATGTTAAAAGAACAAGTATAAAAGTACCGACCACCTCAATTCATAGCTGAAGCATAATTATCTTACTTTCCAGTTAAAGAATCAAGCCAGCTGACAAGGCCTCACTTCCTTGTGGTCCTCTCTTCAGGCAACAGAAGATGGAAACCGACCACCTGGCTCACACGGTCAAGTGTATGCCAAGACTAGTTGTTTTTCTATAAAAATTCTATATGAAATATGTCACAGATTTTTAGTTCCCCAACTCTTCTAATCTTTTCCTTTAAACACTGTGCACAAGCTCATATTAACATAGAAAGCATATATATCTTATAAATCACAGAAATATTAAAAAAAAGTAGCACTCTGGTTTATCAGCTCATTTTACACACATATTTAGGCAATAGAATGTATAAATCTACAGCAACATAGAGGACATACCACTATCCAAAACAAACAAACAAACAACAAAACAGGCTGTTGCAAAAAAATATTTAGTCCCTTTTACACATATATCCATACTTCATTAATGAAAAAAATGTAGTGGTTATTAGATGTCTGAAAAAAATCAGTACGTATGATTGAGATTGTTAATCTCTGAGTGTAACTGTACAACTCATAATTGTTCATCTCAGAGTATTTTTTTAAAGCAGTGGTAAAAGTTTCTCTTTAAATGTGCATTTTAAAAAACTGGCCAAACCTTCAAAAGAAAAGCAGTTTAACACCTCAGGGTTAATATTACGTACTAGCAGCGACAAGGCCCAGTAAGCTCCGGGGGCCTTGTTCAGCATACACACCAGAGCCTTCAAAACCGGGTGGCACACGCCTGGCCAGGGCCTTTGGCGGTTGGCTCTTAGGGGCAGGGCAAGCTACACAGGACTGGGCCTGGGGCCTGGGACCAATAGCACTTACAGCGTAACTCGGAAAGGTTTCGGCAAGAAGCACTCATGTCACGGAGATGGGAGCTGCCAGCCTGAGGCTGGAGACCCCCCTTCTCACCACTTGGCCCGTGTGACTCTCTTGCTCCAAATGACACTCTGCAGCAGTTTTTCCCTGTAAGACTTTGTGTGAGCTGAGGTCCAGTCAAAGCGGATCATTAGGCTCACTGATGCATGGACGAGTGAGGGTAGTTTTGAATATGGATGTTTAAATTGGAATCACCAATAATGTAGCGATATAAAAAGTGCAGCACAATAAAAGTGCATTTCCTCACCACTCCCTAGTGGCAGAGCGACAGAGGACTCCACACACAGGACACAGCGGGATGAGAGGAGATGGCTGCTAGAAGGTGTCAGGTTGCCAGGCTGCACTCCTGACACCCGTGTAGCATGAATACTGGTAAAGCTTTCAGTTGTTAAGGCCACGATTTTTCAGCTCTCATCTTTGAACCCTGTTTAGAAAGATTTCACCTTTTTTAAAGGGGCAGCTCACTAAAAATACAGCTTAGCTTTTCCAAAAAAAAAGACTTCAGGGCAAGAGGATCCTATAATCTTTATGAAAATACTGTGCAGAAAAGTCCACAGCCTTGTACCCCGGAGTACAGCCAGCTCTCACGCACGGAGCAGCCAGACGCCAGCTTGTGACTGTTAGGCTCTGCCCAGTAGGTCCGCCCCGGCAGGAAGGCTTCATGAACGCTCTGAGATGGACACTAAGCTACTGGGGAGAAAATGGTGTGCAAAGTGTTCTTTCTTGTATGTTGCTAGCAGAATGGGGTCTAGTTCCTATCACATTTACCACTTAGGTTAAATGGCCTGGTCCAATGAGTGAGACATCTAGTGAGTTTGATCAGTCTGACACACTGACAATCATACAGACTCATGTGAAATGGGCTCTATCACACCACGGTCCTTAGCTGTTTGTTCCAGTCTGTTGCTGCAGGAAGACGACTGCCAGTGCCTGCTCTGGGTGGGGTCAGGCTGGTGAGCAGAGCAGCTGCTGGGAGGTGACCGGGGAGTGGCCTGGACCCTCCTGGGGGCTCACTAGGAGACCCCACCCAAAGTCAGAACATCAAAGCAAATGTTGCAAACTCGCACAGGCTTGTTCAGATCAAACTTTATAATGGGAATCTCCTTGGTCGAGCATTTGTGGCAAAGTAGACGCCCGCAGTGACGACTGTGGAAGCAAAGAAAGGAAGTGTGAGCGGGGCATTGAAGAGGAGACTGCTTCCCAGCGGAGGGGAGGCCACAGTGGCACCGTGGCAGACAAGGCGAGCCTGTGACCAGTGCTCTGTGGGCAGTCTGCCCCGTGCCAGTCAATTACACCACTGCACATATAACTTGTAGTCCAAGAAAACAAAACTCTAGCCAACAGTTAAGTTAAAGTGATTCTGGAGAAGGCTCTTTGTTTAAAGATCAAGAGAGGCTCAGCAACGCCAAAGAACCGTCTCGTTTTCATAACAGCTCCTCAGTGCTTGGTAGAGCAGTGTGTGCTCTGGCCGGAGGGCAATACCTCAGCTCAGCCTCGCAGCAAGCCAGAAGCCTGGGGAAGGTGACACAGAACCCCGCTGGTCTGAGTGCCCCTGCCCTCCCCACATCACTACAGGTGTGCCCTGTCCTGTCATCTCATTCCTCCACGTGGCCAGGCTTGGCCCAGGACAGTGCAAGGCCCTGGCAAATTCAGGGCTTATCATGGCAAAAGGGAGAAGCAATAACATCAGCAGAAGTCCCCTCACTCCTTCGGCATGTGATGTTGGGGGGAAAGGGGGTCTTACCAGTGATGTTTGCGAGTTGTGACTCCGAACTTGGCAGTGCACTCATAGCAGTTGGAGCCGTCACACCACGGAGGCTCCTTGGACAGCATATCTGTAACACAGGCGGGAGAAGCGATTCCTGTCAGACAGTGACTATGCCAGGCAAGACTTGGCGCTTGAGGAGGAGCAAATAAAGCCCCACGCTGCAGGGTGACCTGAGGGATGAAGGAGCAGCACATTCTAACTGGGTCAGGGAATGTGTCAGAGGAGACTGCGGAGAACCAGCCTTTGCCAGGCAGACTGCGGGGCAGGAAACAGGGCTCAAGGCGGTGAAACAGCACCGTGTGTGTGTGGGAAATACACACAGTCAAGGGTGGCTGCAGTGTAAGGCTTGGTGAGGAGAGAACAGAGGCCAGCAGCTAGAAAGGCTGGTGGGGCCAAACGGTAAGGGGAGCAGGGAGGAGGAGACCAAGACAAGAGAAACGGAGAAGGCAGCATCTGTAAGATTTGGTGAGTGAATGGAAGGGGGGTGGGAGGGGGAGGCAGGAAGGAGGCCAAAGTCATTTCCAGGTTTCTAGATGGAGTGACTGGGTCTGCGGTGGGATGACCAGCAGAAGAGACATAAGAGCAAGAACCAGAGCAGATGAAGAGCTCAGTTTTGAGTCTGCAGAAGCTTTGGGGCATTTGGGCTGGGGGTTATCACTATAGTAACAGCAACCACCACCAGTATTTACTCACCGAGTGCTAACTACGTGCCAGGCACTGTTCTCATCGCTCCCCACACAGAGGCAGACTGAGCTCCCAGCGGGGGAGGCAGACATGGGTCTGTCAGGACCCAGCTCCTCCATGCCAGCCCTGGGACGGGCTCCTACTAAAGGCTGGCCTAGTGCATGGCACACAGACCAGGTATCAGAGAAACACTGTGCTTTAGCGCTGGCTCTGCTACAAACCAGCTCCGTGACCTCAGGCAAGTCACCTACATGAAGATCGCAGAGGTCCTAGGCACTTCTGAGTGTGTTTCTCTGACCACACCACAGGGCTAATAACCCCGTTCTCTCCCATGGTGGGTGAAGACGGTGATGAGAGTGATATGCAGGCACGTGAGGCATTCGGATTCTTTCTGCCACCTCAGTGGGGACGAAGAGGCTGGCACACGAAAGGAGCAGAGAGAAAGTGAATGAGTTGCAGGATGAAGGGGGCAGAGAAGCAGCCAGGGCCACAGTCAGGGTGGCCTGCCGGGACCTTACACGTTTCTGGTAGGATCAGAGGTAGGAAATTGACAGGGGCCCCAAAGCGGAGCACCTGAAAAGAGACGCTGATAGTGACCCTTCCACCACCGCTCACAGGCCCTTCATGGCATTCATAGAAAAACTCCCACGTGCTGCCTGGAAAACCACTGGTTCAGATCTTGCATCAAGTCACCATGCGAGTTCAAGGTCACCAATACAGCTAGATAACCCACACTATAACTGTGCTGGCACTGTCAGAGCGGAAAATAGGCCACTCACCCAACAGTCTAAACAGAAGCTGCTTGGTGGCGACCTGGTAGTTGAAAATGTTGACTCCTTGGTTATTATTCACGCCGAGGCGGGCCCCGGACCGGACGATGGCACGGCACAGGTTGGCGTTGCCTTTCATGTACGCCAAGAGCAGCACTGGAAAACAAAAGCACAGGCCGGGCTACCTCCTACTCATAGCCCAGCCTGGCACTGCCGAAGGGCTGGCAGAGGAAGCTGAGGGCAGGGCAGACGCCCGGGAGGACACTGGTTAGGCCCGTCCCCACTGACACCTAGGGGCCATGTGGCATGGCTGAGACGCCCCCAGAGGATGTGCAAGTATCTTACAGGCAAGGACCCAGCCGCGAGCGAGCCCAGGACACCAGAGTAGCCCCAGCTCCAGACACACTCTTGCCCCTTCAGTAAGGGCTTTGGCTATAAGAGAACTGAGGAGGAACCAGACACTGAAGGCAAAACTCTTCACTGTCGCGGCGGCCTTCCTCTGGCATGAGACTCTGGGAGGACAAAGCTCTTTTCACACAGTGTAACTAAATCCAAAGACGTGTGAGGTGCGCGCAGAGGCAGAAAAAAGTCAGTGTAGGGAGCATGTTCTGGCGAGTCCTTCCACCCCACGGAGCCTCTCTCCTGTGCAGGTGCAGGCCCGCTGGGAACCCAGGCCCCGGTCAGACCGCGGTGCTGGCCTCCTTCCTAACACAGCTGACAGCAAGTCCCCTTTGCTTACCTTTACCAAATGCTTTACTGAAATTCTTTCACTTAATTCTTTAAATGATCCAATAAGATAAGGGTCATTATTTCAAATGAGGAAACAGGCAGAGAAAAGTTGCAGAATTTACTCAGAATCACCCGCTAGACTATGGCAGGTCTCCTGTGGAATTCGGAAGCCTGGATGTGGAGCACCTGTCTGCCTGCCTGTTTCCCTGCTTCTGGGAACATGGTGCTCACGGGAGTGTGTGCTGGGTCCAGCAGGTCACTCCCAGGGCTGGGCCCCTGAAGCTCAGGGTCATCACCGCTGGTTTACAGAACACACTTGAGGGCCGGCCGAGTGGCAGCATGGTTAAGAATTGGCTTGGGACGCCAGAGGGCTCCCGTTCGGATCCCACATATGAGGGCCAGTGACACTGCCCTCTACAGCTAAGATGCTGAACAACAGCTCAACCTGGAGCTGGGCTGCGGTGAGTGGCCGGCGACGGCGTAGGCTGCAGCCCCTGTGGCAGTGGGTTGCCATGGGCTACCGTGTGTAGCCAGCAGCCAGCATGGGCGGCCAGCAGCCACCGTGAGCGGCCTGTCCAGAAGCCGGCGACTGATCTGCCTTGCCCGGGAAGAGCGCAATGATGGTGCCAACTTGGGCCAGTGAAGCAACGTCCTCCACAACTAGACTGAAGAACAAAACGACAGCAACTTTTCTGTTCCCGTCCCCCAATTCCCCAGCACTGTTCCCATCCCCCCAATTCCCCAATTAAAAAAAAAAAAAAGAACACACTTGAGTGTCAAGGCTAAGAACGCTTCCAAGGCCAAGAACTGACGACAAAATATCTGGTCCTGTGCTCAGGATCAGGACACCCTGTGATGACTGCATGTCTGCCAAAGGCTATGGAGGCTCTGTCCGGCATGAGGGCAAATGAATGGGAACACAGCAGCGGCAAGGTGCTCAGAGAGCCCTGGGCTGGGAAGAAAGAGATCTGGGTTTCATCTTTGCTTCCTTACTTGAAACATGGGGACACACTCTATGCACTGCTTACCTTCTAGGGTTGTTCTGAGTACTCAACAACAAAATGAATGTAAAAGTATGTGAAAAAAACTATGGAAGTTACACAAATAAACACAGTGATTGTTGGTAATAGAGCAACACCTTGAGAGGCCTATTTACTAACCCCTTCAGTAAGATGTCAGCCCGTATCCTAAAACTTGCCATGTTTTCAAAGCATGTCAACACACTACAGCACATTTCCTCCATTTGCGAGGTGGTTATATTGTTTTTCTCTCCTGGGATTTGGGAGCTTGGGTAGGGCCCTGGTTGACTGGATCCGAGGTAGATGAAGGCAATAAAAACAGCAGAGCAGGCCTACCTGGACACGGGCATGGCTTTGGAGCACTGGACACACTTACTGTGTGCTTACACCTAAAATTAGACACTGCCCAATGCCACAGTAGGGGATCTGTGACAGATGTTCAGAGCCCCGTCGACATGCACTGGGCTAAATGCCCTTGAATAATGAGGTATGTGCTTGGGCTCCTGGTGTTCTAGAAAGCAAGGAGCCCAAGTGAGACAGGACATACAAACAGCGTATTACATACCTGTGTTTCCTTCTGCATCTGGTTTATCTAGAGGATACTCAGGCATGCACTCTAAGAAGAGATCAAAGATAGCTGCTGCATTCTCTTTGCCATATTGTCCCAAAATGTGCAGTGGCGACTGGCCTCTGATAAAACAAGTGGGAAAAGTTAGGTATATATCTGCCACAGCCATCAAGCACAAAAGACATGGAATTTTCTGAACTCTGTGATGCTGGATAAATCAAAGGACACACAATAAGTCATAAAAGGTTCTCTAAGAAGTACTTTTCAGTAAGACAAATTCCAGGGTACCAAAGGCTGGTTGAAGCCCTAGAGACCAGTTCCGTTAACGCACCAGTGACTGCCAGCTCTGAGGGGGGGAGGCTAGGGGACATGGGGCTCTGGCCTTTGCTCTAGACCACACACGCTCACCTTAGATTAAAGGCTTCAGCGTCCACGGTGCACTCTGTCAGGAGGACCCGGATGTTGTTGAGCCGACCGTGCATGACAGCGAGATGAAGAGCTGCAGAGTAAATCCTCTTACTGTGCAAGCCCAGAAGCTCGTGCAGAAAATCTTGACTCCTCACTCCCACCGGCCTCCCTCTACAAGGGACTCAGCCCGAGTAGCCACTGTCCACTCACAGCCATCCTTTCTAGTCTTCACCATCACCCCCCAAGAATGAGACACAAATACAAGCTCATAAGACTTTGCTATCTGCTTCCATAGTTATCCAAATGTGTAATTTAATGGTTTCACAAGAAGCCACTTTAGGCTGTTAGGGTTACCATTCAGACTGGGAGGCTGCCCAGGCCTGGTCAGTGGCAGGTTGGATGCCCAGTTTAGAGCATTTCCTGTCACTGCTCTACTCCTCTGAAAGCCAACCTCCCTGAGGCGGAGCAGACCCAAGGGTGGAGTGCAGCCCCACTCCGAGAATGGTGACTTCTTCAGGCACTCAGCACAGACGCAGGGGAATGACACTGACTTACCATTATTCCCATTCTCATCCGTAGCCGCGAAGTCTACTCCATTCTCCAACAGGACTGAGCAGATGGTGGGGAGGTCCTGCTGGGCGGCGAGGTGGAGAGCTGTCTGGCGGTGCTTGGTTAATTCATTCACTTTGGCTCCTGCGAGAAGCTGTTGAAGTTGATGACATGAGCAGCCTCTCTACCACAACCAATCAAGGTCCCACTTAAGGGGGCCAGGCCTGCCTGTCTTCTGACATCCAGAGTCTGCCGTGCTGGCAAAGCTTGGAGCATAAGGGCCTCACAGACACTCCTGCTGAGGCCCAGGCCAGCAAAACCTGCTCCAAGGGCAAATCGACAATTTGACTTAAAAAACTATTCTTAGGACATAGAAATTCTACTTCTAAGACTTCAGTATATAAAACTACCCACGGCTAAAGTGATATTCACCACACTATATAAGGATGCCCACTGCTTGTTAACAGTAAAACCAGATTCCAAAGAGGATTTAGTTATAAAAATTATAATATATACAAACAAGAGTAAGTAGCCATAAGATGATAAACATTTATGATTTAACATGGAAGGATGTCTACGATATGGTAAGTTAAAAAAAAAAGGGCATGTTAAAAGACAGTATAATATAACTGTATCTGGAAAGAGAGACAGATATAGAGAAATGTATGCATATTCACACACAAACTCTGAAGGTGTTTGAAACCGTATACACCAAACCCAGAGGAGCGTTGGAGGTGAAAGGGAGGTGCTTTCTGCTTTACAGCCTTGCATGCTTTAAGGTTTTCGCAATAAACATGCACTAGTTTTATATTATTTTTTAAAAAGAAAGAAAAGAACACCAAATATACAGAATCAAAGGCAAGAAGCACCTTTAAATAATATCTTATCTATTCATTTAGTATTTAAAGTTCATTCATCATCCACTTGCTGACAAAGTTTCCAAGACAGCTGCTGTGAACAGAAAAGAATGTGTAGTTTGCAGTCAGAGCCCAGGCTGCCTCCCCTGAGGGCTGAGGCCACCCCTGGCTCCTTTGTCTGGGGGTGCAGGCACGCTGCCTCTGGGGAATTCTAGGCACTGGTTAGCTGCTCTGCTTCTGGCCCTGCCTTCCGAGGCCCGGCCCCCAGACCTCTGGGTGCCCAGGAAAGTCACTCATAGATCCAGATAGGACACAGCAGAGAGGGGTCTTCATGGTGTAAGTGCTGAGCTAGAGGTCATAGCTAACCTCAAGGTTGGTTAACTGGGGGGAAGGAGGAGAGGTTTGGATAAAGGAATTGTTTCAATGTGAACAGGTTCTACCATTAATCTGTACCAATACACAGAGGAAGGACTGGATAGCCACTGTTTGGAAGATCAGCTGTTTCTAGGGACTCCTTATAACCTGCGAGCTCAGGCCTTAGCGAGGCAGAGGCATGACCCTGGTGAAAGGGCCACGATCCTCAACCCTCCCCAGGCAGACTGATGGACACCGGGCCTGATTCCACTTGCAGACTCACCTCTGCCTCCTTAGCTGTTTCCCCACATCCAGTCTACGCCTGGCGTCCTTCTGATGCACCTCCTCAATCACTCTCCAGGTCATCCCTCACTGTCACTGCCTCCTTTTGGCCTCCTCACTTGTGGGCCTGTCCCCACACCCCTGCACTCCACCGCCAAGGTAAATGTTCTCTTAGCTCAAACACATATTGAGTCATAAACGTTTTTCTAAAAAGTATTTTTCAAAACCAAAAATGGCGGGGCACCAAATGCTGGCCAAGTGCCCTGTGGTCAGTCCTGTAGCACACGCCCGGGGCGGATAGGAAGCACCAGCAAATGCCAGCTTTTAGGGGCCCGCCAGGTGACATGGGGCCCTGGCCTTGGCTCTGGACCATGCTCTCAGCTCAAACACTTATCATGGTTTCTCCACACTGAAAGGATAAAGTTCTTGGTTTGAAATACGACACTCCACAATCTAGTCTCTACCTGTCTCTCCAACCACATCTATTGTCCAGCCAAATTTCAATGAAACTTTTCTACTTAAAACACACCAATGCACTTTCCAATTTCTACATCTTTGCTCAGCCCTTCTCCTGCATAGGTGGCATTATATTGTACTGGAAAAGGCAGGCTTTGGAGTCAAATAGAAATGGCTAAAATCCCAGCTACATTACTGACTAGCTTTTAATTGGGGAGGGTGGGGGTGGAGGGGTGGGATTCTGAGCTTAAATTTTCTCCTTTGTAAAGTGTAAAATATTTCCTATATCTCTCTGGTGGTTTTGTGAATTAAGAGGTGGTAAGTTCCTTGACATCAGTCTGGGTGATGATTTTTTTTGGATCTGACTCCAAAAGCAAAGGTAACAAAAGTAAAAATAAACAAGTAGGACTACAAAAAAGCTTCTGCACAGCAAAGGAAATCATCAACAAAATGAAAAGTCAATCTACAGAATGAGAGAAAATATTTGCAAATCATATGTCTGATAAGGGTTAAGATCCAAAATATATAAAGAACTCCTACAACTGAATAGCAAAAAAAAATCTGATTAAAAAATGGGCACAGGATCTGAACACACATTTTTACAAAGAAGACAGACATAGCTATCAGGTACATGAAAAGAAGCTCAATATCACTAATCATCAGGGAAACTCAAATCAAAACCATAATGAGATACCATCTCACACCTGGTAGAACGGCTATTATCAAAAAGACAAGTAATAACAAGCATTGGTGAGGATGTGGAGAAAAGAGAACCCTTGTGCACTGTTGGGGAATATAAATTGGTGCAGCCAATTTGAAGATTCCTCAAAAAATTAAAAATAGAACTGCCATATGATCCAGCAATTCCACTTGTGGGCATTTATCCAAAGAAAACGAAAACACTAATTCAAAAATATATATGCACCCCCATGTTCACTGCACACATACACACACAATGGAATACTATTTAGGCATTAAAAAAAAGAATGAAATTTTGCCATTTGTGACAACATGGAAGAACTTTGAGGGCATTATGTTAAGTGAAATTAGTCAGACAGAGAAAGACAAATACAGTACGAGTATGATCGCACTTATATGTGGCATTAAAAAAACAAACAAAAATCCCTCCAAGCTCATAGATACAGAGAACAGAATGGTGGTTGCCAAAGGCGGGGGTGGGAGGGGGGACAAAATGGGTGAAGGGGATCAAGAGGTACGAATTTTCAGTTACAAAATAAAATAAATAAGTCATGAGGATGTAATGCATCGCATGGTAATTACAGTTAATACTACTGTATATTTGAAAGCTGCTACGAGAGTAAATCTTATAAAAGTCCTCATTCTAAGAAAAATAAATGTTTTTGCAACTATGGTGACAGATGTTAATTAGACTTACTGTGGCGGTCATTTTGCAGTCTATACAAATATCGAATTGAAATGTTGTATAGCTGAAACTAATGTTATATGTCAATTATACCTCAATGAAAAAAAATGACAGGGCGAGGGAGGGGAGGGGAGGGGAGGGGAGGGGAGGGGAGAGGAGCTCACTCGAACGCACCAGTTGGGTGCCTGACACAGAGTGGGCAGACCAGAAGCGAGTCTCCCTTCCCTAGATGCTTCCACCCTGCCTCTACCACCTACATCCTGCTTTCCCTCCAGGCCTCACTCCAGCATCTGTCTGCCCAAGCAGCTGCTGGGCACTCAGGATGTGCTGCCCACTGACATACCTGTTTTCTCCCATGTTTTAGCTTAGCTTCCCAGATTCACGCTGGCCATTCCCCATACCTGGCACAACACCTATGATGAAAGGTTCTGCACACACTCTGCCACATGCTTTGTCTACATGTTACATGCAACGATGTTTCAGCGACACTTACCAAATTGCGTACGATAATCTCTGAGCCTGCCTGGACAGCAAGGTGCAAAGGGGTCAGCTTGGAAGCGTCCTGGACTCTGGAATTCACATTAGCCTGGACACTGATCAGGAACAGCACACTTTCAATATCGGAGTTCTGAACTGCCACGTGAAGAAAATTCCGGCCCTTGTTATCCACCTAAGGCAACAAGTGGGAACCAAAATATTAGTGGGCTTCCTTGTGCAAGAGTGCCTCCTGAGCACCTGCAGGCCTCGCTGACCCTGACAGGTCCTGGTGCAGTCGTTCCCTCAGCTCCAGGAAGCTCCCTCCCTAGGCCAACACTAAATGTCCCCACCCTGCAACAGCCCCATCCTACATATTTGTGCACATGACCATGTGTGCACGGTCACATCCACGTGTCAGGGGAAGGGAGCCTCTGCACTGGTTCAAGCTGCTCTGGCATCCTCCTGCAGCAGGAGCTGGGCATGGAAAGCCAAGAAAGAGACAGGGAAAGGACGGCACCAACATACTAGGACGCCTGGGGGAAGGCAACGGTGGGGACTGACTAGCCTTGGGAGTCCCGTTCGGGCCACAACAAGCACCCAGTGTTCTAACACCACAGCTGCAATCCTAGCCTGACCCTGAGCAGTCACACAAATCTTCAGAAATTTTCAGAAAGTTTTCTGTTACCAAGCTACAGGGTAATAGTAATATATTGGGGGAGGCAGTCAATAGTATAGCGCAGACTGCTTCACTGATGTAAAGCAGACAAGCACTCCCTGAAATCAAGCCACAGAGGATATCATATCAGTATGAATACTCAGTGAGAAGTGAAGGAGAAACCAACATGCTATACATACACATATACACACAGACAGACAGACAGACAGACACACACACACACACACGTCCACAGCACATGCTGGTGTCACAGCAGTATATCTGCAAAGGACGTGAATCAACAGTACCAGTTTCATATCCAACGGAGAGGAAATGTGAGATGACTACATCCATTCGTGAACATTTTACACTGCCTGAGCAATGGTGAGGTTAATACCTATACGATTCAGTCACACTTACACAAATGCTAAAGAAACAATGTGCAGAAGTCTGGAATACCAGGCAACAGTTTTCAACTATGTTAGGTTTCATTTCGTTCAGGTCTTGAGTTTCCATTTTACCTTCATAATGGCTTTTCATAAATGCTGGCAGGACTCTAAGTGCTGGATGGAGATTCAGGTGTCTGTAGGACTGACTTAACCTCACCCCAGCTTCCGCCTCAGGTCAGCTGCTACTGTTATTTCCCACCAACCTGTTGCTGCAGGTCAACAGTTCACCATCCAGAAAGAACAGGACAACGGGCCTGCTAAGCTGAACGATAACAACTTAACTCTAGAACACTTAGAAAGTTGCCCCCAACATCACACCAAAAGCTCCTCAACTTCAATTTCAATCTTTTTAAGATGTTCATTACCAGGGCAATTAAACAACCACACCAAAGCAAAGAATAACCTCAGTTGTACTTGTTGTGACAGAATCCCTAATTACTGAGTCCAGCCACCTCCAGCTTCCTTCTACATGTGGCACCATCAGGTGGCTGACACACAGGGCAGAGCAATCAAGTCTCATCCAGCACTGACAGGAAATCTAATGGTCAAATTTTAAGCACGAGTATAATTTCAAAACAAATGCCTTTATATGGAAGAAACCTATTTAATTGGAGACATATGTTTACTCTCCACGTAATAGGTTCTGCTGTGCTCAGGACCCCGTGGAGAATGTTGGGTGTTGGCCCCTTACTTGCTCAGCAGCCCCAGACTCTCGTTTTAGGATGGCCTCAGCTGCCTTGTTGTTCTTGTAAGTCATGGCGCAGGCAAAAGGGGTCAGCCCTTGTCTGTCTCGTACATTCAAGTGGATATCAGGGTGAGAAATCAACAACTGAATGATGACACTGTGTTGGTTGCTGATGGCCACGTGGACAGGCGTTCTTCCTTCTGCATCCTATGGGGACAAGGCAGATTTCAATGTCCAAATGAAAAATAAAAAGTCAGGAAAACTATGAAGAGGGATAACTTTTAAATCAAATTTGGTTCTGAGAATCCATATTGCCACCCTGTGTTTGAAATCAGTTTTTGGTGTTTTTTTAAATTAAAGTTTATTGGGGTGACAATGGTTAGTAAAGTTCATAGGTTTCAGGTGTACAATCCTGTAATATATCATCTATATATCACATTGCATATCACCACCCAGAGTCAGTTCTCCTTCCATCACCATATATTGGGTTGTCGAAAAAGTCATGACATATTTTTTCAATGAAAAACAGAAAAAATACGTCATGACTTTTCCAACAACCCAATATTTGATCCTGTTTACCCTCATCTACCACCCCCCTCCCCCGTTACCCTCTGGTAACCACTATTGTCTGTGTCTATAAGTTTTTGTTTTTTTATTGTTTGTCTTGTTCCTTTGTTGTTTTCAGTTTTATATCCTACGTATCAGTGAAATCATATGGTTCTTGACCTTTTCTGTCTGACTTATTTCACTTAGTGTAACAATCTCAAGATCCATCCATGTTGTCGCAAATAGCATTATTTCATCTTTTCTTATGGCAGAATAGTCTTCTATTGTGTATATACACCACAAAATCAGCTTTTAAAGGGGCCAGAGAAGCCACTCCTCAATACCCAATGCTCCAGTGACCCAGGGGCACAAACACAGCTAGTTTAGAAGATCATCTCTAAGTTATACCACACTTTATCTGACTATAGGGCAGTGTGCACAAATCTTCATAGGTTAGAACGTTGAAAAGCATCAAGGAACGTAAGTAACTCAGGGATGCTCAATTGAGCCACTGGAATATTTTCCTAAATACTGTACAGATGCTCCTCAACTTACAAGGGGACTACAACCCAATAAACCCATGGTAATTTGAAAATATTTTTAGTAAAAAATGCACTTAATACTCTCAACCTAACGAACATCACAGCTTAGCCTAGCCTACCTTAAATGTGCTCAGAACACTTACATTAGCCTACAACTGGGCAAAATCTTCTAACACTAAGCCTATTTTATAATAAAGCGTTGAATATCTCATGTAATTTATTATGCGTGTTGCTTTCGCACCATCATGAGGTTGAAAAATCATTAAGTCGAACCATCGTAAGTTGAGAATCACCTGTACTCAGCTTGAGAACAAACTCTCAATGGAAATCTATAACTAACAGGGATAAGAGGCAAAGAAAAGTTGATTCAACAAAGATTCCTCACACTGTAGAAAGGACAAAGGCACAAAGAAGGAAAGTCTTAACACGAAATCATTAAAATTTCCAGGCAGGCTGTATGACCCAGAGAAAGTCGCTTCACCTTAGCCTCATTCCTGGTAAAGTAGAGGACCAGGACCGGAGAACCTGCAAGGTCCCTTGCTATAAGAGGAAATTTCTCTAACTCTGGGGTTACCACCTATCTCCCCGGAAAAGAGAAATTCTCCGTACCTGTGCATTTACATTGGCACCAAACTCCAGAAGACACTGTACCGTCTCTTCCAGCCCCCAGGAAGCTGCCAAATGCAAGGGCGTCTGCCCATCTCTGGCCTCTTCCTCTCCTTCTCCATTAGCACCGGGTTGTCTGGGACTATTCACATCACAACCACTGAAGAGGAGAGGGAAATGAAAGGAAGGCTTTGCTTGCCCCATGCTTTCTTCTAGCCTAAAGGCATGCAGACCAAGGTACAGCTTCATCCAGTCCAACAAAAAAGAGGCTGCTGTGCTCAGTCCTTGGCCTCAAATTCTGGTGTCTGGGTCTCACTCTCACAGATTCTTCTGTAGGTCTTGAGGGCTATCTGGGTATCAGAACTCTTTAAAGCTTCCCAGAAAATCTACAAGTATTTCAAGTTGGGAGAACCACTGTTCTAAAGGTTTCCTGAGTAACCTTATTGCCCACTCATGCTGTTACGGCTCATGCAGCTTAGTGGGGTCCTGCAGAGGCCATCTGGTCTCTTTCACACCAGCCTCCTGGCTTTACTGTTAAACTGGTCGGATTTGACTACGGGAGCCTATATGGCTTCCAAAGCAGGAAGCTGACTTAGCTTTTAGACTCTTTGATCTGGGCACACGAGCTCCTCTCCTCCTTAAGACTCCTGACTTAAGTCCCTTGGCTGACTTAACAGAACAGTGACCCTCTGATAGCCTTAATTATGAAAGTCAAGCCAACAACAAGACTGTAGCCAACTGTAGCCAGTTTGCAATAAGCTGAATAAAAAGATTTGAAGAGATACTTAGACTTCTCAGACCTGCGAATGAGAAAGCAGGCGATGGACTCATTATTCTCATCAATGGCTCTGTGCAGGAGTGTTTGAAGACACCCGCTAGGTCCTGGACCCCAGCATGTGGCATCACAGCCATGTCTGACCTGCAGAAAAACACAGGTTACTAACAAACACTGCCTAGCGAAGATGAGAATTTCTATTACCATCTCTGAGTTCTATGCACATCATTAGATCCATTTTTCAGGCAAACACAGTTCATAATCAACTGATAATTATTAATCTGTATCATTCATTAGTTTTACAAACACTGATTAAAATCTGCTCTGTGCAAGTTCTTGCACTAGGTCCTGTGGGATGTGTTTGGGAAATATAAGACAGATATGTTTAATTCATGCCCTCTAGAGCTGTGTTCTAGAAGGAGCAGGAAACACACACAAGTGCATACTCTCTCTCTCTCTCCCTCCTAAGTCCCCAGTAACACATACCTGTAATTAACAAGCAATCTCTGTAAGACTGGGTAAAACCTCTAGGGGCACAATGCCTTAACGTCACATTTTGGGCCCTTCAGAAAGCTCAGTAACTTCCAGGGTTACCTCTAGTTTGGGAGCCTGTCTTCTGAACAAGGGAGACAAACCTGCAATTTGGGGATTTATCACTATGATGAGGGTGAGGGCAGCCCACATCAAATAAACCCACCATAGGAGGAGGCTTCCTGAGGAAGGGCCTCAGCTCTCTTGCTTTTTGGTAGTTTTCTTGACAAAGACAGTCTAAAAAAATGCTGACTGAGGCTATGTTGAATTGCAAGTGTCTTTAACATGACTTTCTACTGCTTGCCATTCACCCAGTTTGTTAGTTGGCAGATTGCTTGCTTCTTGTGATTGCTACATAGGCACCAAATTCATCTCTGACACAAAACATCCCCGTGTGTAAACAAAGGCTAGGGTTGAGCTTGTCTCACCAGAGTGGATGCGATGTCCTCCAGGTTATTTGCCAATGCCAGCCACAGTGGGGGGTTCCCTTTCTCATCCGGCACGGACATGTCCGCTCCTCGGGTGCAGATGGCATCCACTACAAGCGGAAGCTGATTTCTGATGGCCAGCTGAAGGGCTGTCTCTCCATCCTGGGTCCTATTAGGACATGCACACCAAGACCAACATTTGTAGCTGGAGCCAAATTGTCCTTCTGGGTATCCCAGAGGCCAAAATCCGCTGTATCCCTTAAACACGCTTCACTCACATTCATGAATATTTTCAGAGATATTTAACCTGTCAATAGCATCTGTCCCTTCTGCCTTTAAAAAAAAATACAGCCATGCCATCCCGTGTCACGGAGAAGGAACCTGACCAACATCCCAGGTGTTGAAATCTTACTGGTATACAGCTGCTTTTAACAGCATCTAAATAAAAGGCAGCTCCAACCACCCTTTCGACAAAACACTTCTTTCACCCACTCAGTCATTCAGGATCACTTGACACTGAAGGTAAAGATAAACTCTTTTGAAAATACAAAAACAACAAAAGTTTAAGTGTGCATTCCCCCCTCCCCCAAGCCATTTTGATAGGTCATTCGTTGGAATGTTCCTTGTATGATTATATTCGGTTACAGTCCTGCACTTGTACTTTTTCAGAGTCACTGTTTCCCTTCCTTTGTTTAACTAGGAACATGTCCTACAAGCAAGGCTGTGCCTCTGAGCCGTCTCAGTGTGCCCAGCCTACCTGACGTTGATGTCCGCCTGGTGCTCCAGGAGGAACAGCGCGCTCTTGCTGTCCTGCCGCTGCATGGCCATGTGCAGCAGGGTCTGCCCATCCGACATGGTGTCGTTGATGCAAGCGCCAGAGCCCAGCAGCTGGGCTGCAATCGTGTGCATGCCTGGGAAATAAGCCAATTAACATGCACTCAGCTTTCCCCACTTCTTCAACTTCTTCCTACAACCCACACACACACCCTCTCAACCTCAAAGCCAGCAGTTTCCACTGGGCATTACAAACTTAACCCCAACAGAAAGGCTGTCTTACAACCAAATGATTAGCTCCCAGCCCTCCACACACCCCTCCCTCTCTCAGCCCCCTTCTGACAGACGTCTGTCTGCAGATGTCAGCATCCTCTGGCACCATCTTACCTGTCCATAATGCCAGGCCCAGCACAGTCTGGTCTCGGGAATCCTTGAGGCTGAAGTCCGGAATAATTTGCAAGTTGTTGGTGGCATGAAGAGCATTTGCTAAATTTTTTTAAAAGGAAAAGAACACTTGATTTCACCATCCCATGGATCACATTTAAAGTATTTAAGAGAATAAGAGCTTGGCTTCAAACTGACTGGGTAAAATACGATCATTTCTTTACAAAGAGAACTGATAATTCTTGTGCAGGCTGGAAGCCCAGAAATATGATATTCTGGAGCAAAGCTTACAGGAAAAATGAATTAAAAAAATAATAATTTTTATTAAATTTATTGGGATGACATTGGTTAGTAAGCAAATGAATTTTTTTTTTAAGCTTGAAACATTGAATCTTCACAAAAGGAAACCAGACTCTACCATGGAAACACACATTAACTACCTGAATATGGAAAAGAGGATCAAAACAATGCTCCGGCGATATTTTCCTAAAACATAATACCTACTACCTTATAATGCTTGTGAGAACCCAGAAAAGGGCACATTCTACCTAAAGACCCCACTTTCTTCCACAGCACAGTGCTAAAAAGTGCTGGCCGTAACTGGGGTGCAAATTTCAGGACAGGAGAGAGAACGTGAAGGTGACTATTGGAGGGAAACGGGCCTTCCCCCACTGCGGGGTCTTCCCCTGGCCCCTCTGTCACGGTTCACCTGCCAGAGAGGCTCAGAGGCAGATGAGAGGGCTGTCCGCTTACAGAGGAACTGCTGCAAGCAAGGTCAAAGCTTTGCTTGACTACAATGAAATGGCCTGGGAAACAGCCCCAAGTAAGAGAGAGGTAGTCAGAAATTCTAACACCTTAATCCAGGGTGGAATGGGCAGGCCCCATCCTGAAAATGTATACAGTAGCTGGGGGCCAGACTATATGCTTATCTACTTTGACCTGAAAGGATTTTTTGGGTAGGAAACTTCACCAATGCAAGAAACACTAAGTCTGTTAATTAACTACTCAAAACCAGTGTTCAAAGGTCAAAGTGATAGGCAGTGATTCCCAACTACCCACCTTTTTGCTCGAGGATGACAGACACCACATCTGGGTGATCATAGGCGATTGCCATGTGCAGTGGGGTCTGCAGGTAGACACTGCCTACTGAGCTGCTCAGGGACGCAGCCTCCTTTGGCAAAGGCAGAGCTTCCTCCGTCTGCAGGTTTGGGTTGGCACCTTGCTGCAGCAGCTCTGCAGTGAGGTTAGCCAGGCCATGCCGACAGGCTGTGTGCAACGGGGTTTCTCCCTGAACAGAAACACATGGCCCAGATCAGAGCACTTTCAGGCTGGGGGTTACCTTCACAAAGGGACGATGACAGCCTAAGCTGAAACTCACAGCTCTTGGCTCATCCTGTCACCAGCTGACCTCTGTGACTTCTGTCCATTCCCTCTGGTCTCCTCTCCTTCCCCTTCCCCTGCACCATCATCCTTAGTTTCTTCAGTGTCCTCCCAAGCACTCTCCAAACTCCCTGGCTCCACGTCTTCTGCATTTCCAATGACCTGCTTAACCACCCTGCACTTTGTATTTATAATTATTTTGCTAATTATAAAAATAATATAGGACTATTATTAAACAGCCACAGAGGGCCTCCGAATGTCACTAAAATAAGCACTGTAGAAAATGGAAGCACCTCCCAATCACAGCCCCAGAGACAAGCGCCTTCAGGGACCATCACCACTCCTTAACCCCCACCAGCAGGCCTATGCCGCTTCTTTCAACTGATCTATTGACTTCATCCTGAACTCTGATCAAGATCACCTTTCCCCCACTTTTTAAAATCAGAAACATTTTTAATTGGTATTACAGATACTTGATTCAATATTCAAAGGCTACAAGAATACGCAGTGAGAAGTTCCCTCTCATGCCTGGCCCCTACCACCCAATTATCCTCCCCTAAGGAAACCATTATTACTGGTTTCACGTTTCTCTCCTGGGACAGAATATTCACAGAAAGACACACACATACTATGTATGTATGTGTAGTTTAGGATATACCACAAATGCTTAGGAAATGGTTGCTGAATGAATCAATCAAACAATATATGAGGATAAAAGCCTCTATTTCACTCTGGTTTTCTAACCATGTGCATGTATTACTTTGATAAAAGTTGAAAAAAGAATCCATTCCATTCTTTCCTATAAATCTGACACTGCCATTTCTTCCATAGATCAAAACTGCTTCCCGTGGCTGCCCTGTCATACTTACCCACTTGTTTCTGTGGTTGACGTGGGCGCCATTGGTTGCCAGGAAAAGAGCTGCTGCCTCATTTCCTTTTTCAGCTGCCCGCTGTAGTAAGCAATTTCCTAGGAGAAAATGGACATATTCATTCTGCTATTTGCATAAAAATGAGGTCCAGTTCCATGCTGCACCATACCCTGCCCTTGCCCACCACCTTTCACAGCTGAGAAGCTCAGGCAGGAGGAGGTACCACTTAAGTCCACACAGGCAGGATGAGCCTGGGTGGAGCTAAGACTTGGTCTGGAAGTCAGGAGACATTCATTCCTCCCTTGGTTTGCAGTAGCCACTGCACAGCACCAGAGGGAAGTTGTATCTCCTTCCCGGGGCTCGACTAGAACAGTTTCTCAGTAGTAGTGATACTGGCTTTTGGGGCCAGATAATTCTTTGTTGGGAGGGGTCTGTCCTGTACACTGCACAATATTTAGCTGTTTCCCTGGCTTCTGCCCACTAGATGCCAGTAGCATCCCCGACCTTGTTGTGACGATCGAAAATGTCTACAGGTGATGCCAAATGTCCCTGGGGTTGGGGGCTGGGAGGGTGTCATCCATGTCTGAGAAACTTCGCTAGGTGACCATTTTGAAGACATTTTGAGCTTAAGTTCTACCAGAAAATGCTCCTTAAATACTTCAGTTTTATTCCCAGGGCCTTAAATATGCTGGCTCTTGGCTTAGAAATGTTTTGTTCAGCATTATCATTCTTTTCTAAATAAAACAAAATTTTTTTCTTCTTTTCCTCCTTTGAAATGGTTTAGCCCAGAGCAGTGTTTCTCTTTCTATTAAAATACATTTCCTTTATGGATAAACACAAAATCTCATGTTCTATGTCTATGTTATTTGAAAACTCAAATTAAATTAAATACCAGGGTGAAAAACAAGATAAAGAAACAGGACAAAGCACTGCTTTGTTTTCATACCATTTTTTCCTTTTCTCTCAAAGAAAGTGATTCCACCCCTAGTTGAGAGCCATTTCAATTTAGAGACTCCCAATAAAAGTCCCATTTTCACTTCTGTCACCATTGTGGTGTACACAGAACATACATCATACACAGGTTTTCCCGCTTTCCGAAAGCAGGGATTTCCTATGAAACCTTTGTAAGCCCAAAGGGCCTACAGTGAAAAAGCAATTACCACTAATTTATATGGAAAACATTTTAAGCATTCCCAGACTTAACCCCCTCCTCTGCCAAATAACCTACCAAATCATACCTCATAACACACAAAGCCTAAATAAAACATTAACAGAGTAAAAGCAGTGCCCCACTTGCTGCCAGGGTACATGCTGCCTCACTGTAACAGAGGCTAAACACTAATTTTGCTTTTTGCCTTTTTTCGTAAAAGTGAAAATCCTCTTTGGATTTCTTCCAATAGCAAAACAGGTACTAATGTAGGTCTTTTGTAAAAGTGAAGTGGCACAAGGCAACCTTGAAAAGCAGGGGCTTACCTGCTGTACCTCCCTATAGAACAAAAAAACTGCAACTGTTAAAACATCATTGAAATGTGTAAAAACAGTGGTCTAAGGTTAATTCGAGCATAATAAAAACTGGAACAAGGAAAAATAATCCTGAATTTGAATTTAAAACTCCCAAGTATATAATGTAAAACAGACAGAACCAGCAATAAAAATGGACAAATTCATAATCACAGTGAAAATTTTTAATGTGCCTCCCAGAAACTGACAGGTTAAGCAGTCCAAAAGTTAATAAATTAATGAGTAAGATTTAAACAGCATAACAAACAAGCTTGATTTAATGGACATAAACAGAGAACGCTGCATCCTACAATTAAAGAATGCACACTCTTTTCAAGTACATGTCAAGCTTTTATAAAAACTGGATGTGTAAGAGTATATATTCAATCCTAAATGTCAAAGAAATTAGAAATCGGTAACATTATGGCAATAACAAATATATAGTTGTAAATTAAAAGCAATTTAGTAACAATCTCACTTCCAGAGGGTCTTTAGTATAAAACACAGCTCTTCCTGTACTCCCTGTCCTGTAGCTTTTTACCATTGCCTTTAGCTTTTATGTCACCCAGAGGGATGGTTTCATTTGATCTTTATTTAAATGTTAACTTCTTTCAGGGAAAGAGCTGTTTAATATCCATCTTTTTATGGCCAATTCCCCTCGTCAGTGGCACATACCCAGCTTTTATACATTGCTAGTACTCAATACTGAATTATATGGAATCCCTCTTCTTAAAACACCTCCATGTTTTATTTAGTCAGGTCAAAGATATATTCACATTAAAACAGGGGCTCTCAGTGTGGTGTATGGATTCCTGGGGGTATCTGAGAGTCTTTCAGAGGGCCCATGAGGTCAAACTGTTTTCATAATAATACGTGATGTATTTGCTTTCCCCCACTATGCTGATAATTGCACTGATGGTGCAAAAGCAATGGTGGATCAAAATGGGGAGCCTTAACATAAATCAAGGCAGGGGCCCCAAAATGCAATAGTAGTCCCTGTAATCTTCACCACCATGCACCCAGTCAAAAAAAGCCAGTTTCACTAAGGAGGTCCTTGAAAAGCAGTAAAAATTACTAGCTTTATTAAATCGCTTTATTAAATCTCAACACTGAACACGTTTTTAAAATTGTGTGACAAAATAAGAAGTATGCATAAGGCCACATTTGCCGTGTAGCAAAGTGCAATAGTTGTCCCAAGGAAAAGCACTTGTGTCACTGTTTAAACTGCACGCTGAATTAGCAGCTTCTTGCATGAAACACTGTTATTACTTGAAAGAATGGCTGATGAACTGTGGTATTCAAACTTGAGTATTTGGCAGACATTTTCTTGAAAATGAACATAGTGAGCCTGCCTCTTTAAGAAAAACAATTTGTACCAAATGATAAAATTTGATCTTGAAAGTGAAAATTAGAATTTGGAAAACTTTTATATGCAACTGTAAGCTTGACAGCTTCTCAATACTGAAAGACTTTTCTGGTGAAATCAGAAGTGATACTAGTAAACATGATTCTAGAATAAAATGAACATTTGAAAGATCTGCAGTACTCCAGTGAATCAATATTTTCCAAATGACTAAGGCATGATGTTACAGAATCATGCATGGAGAAAAGATCCATTCAAAGCACAAACGGCCATGGATTTTAATATAACGAAGTATAAAAAGTATAAAAAAACCATATCTGAAACTGATATGGTTTCAGATTCCACATTGCAACTAATCATAAAGAAACTATTATGTGATGAATTTTGCCTGCTGGAGTATTAAAGAACTATATTCACAATTATCTGAAAAGGCTCTTAAAATACACCTCCCTTTTCTAGCTACATAACTGTGTGAGGGTATATTTTCTTCATATACTTTAACCAAAACAACATATCTCAAAAGTTTGAATACAGATGCAGATATAAGGAACCAGTCACTCTTCCAATGAAATTTTGTTGTGAAAGTTATTCTTCATAAAAGATTTTATATGCTAACGTAAGATGATGTATTAAAATTATTAATACATCTTTTCAAAATCTGTTTTAATTTTTAACATGGTAAACATCAGAGATATAATCCGCCAAAACAAAAGTTATTTGGAATGTAATTTTTAAGACGGTAAAAGGGGCTCTGAATCCAAAAAGTCTGAAACTTGCTGCATTAAATAAAGTGTTTCAGCTTAAAGGCTTTAACTTGCAGTCTGCTAAATTTTTTGAAGCACACGTTAAAGAAAAAAAATAATAACTCGGACTTTTACTCTAGTTAAAATTGAACACAAAATACTTGTAATAATAGCATGTCATCCAGTTTCTCAATTGTTGGTAAAACGCTGACACATTATTTCAATGGAGCCTCCAGACTTCGCAGTGGCTCTTATGGGTCCATGCTTTACCTGTTATTGTATCAGGTGCGTTGGTGTTGCTGCCACGCTGAATGAGTCTGGCTGCAAAGCTGTTTTCGTCAAACGAAGTCCCGTTGACGACAGGTTGGTCTTCGAACGGGTTTACGGACTGGTCGGATGACACAGTGATGTACTGCACTGCGAGCCACAGCGCTGTGCTGCCTTCATGGTCTTTCAGTTCTAGATCTAATCTGAAACAAGGAAGCAACGTGAACAGCAAATATCTCCTTCAGACACTGCACTGCCGACAGCCTCATTCTTTCTCTTTATGCTTTAGAATGATCATTTTAAAATTCTATTTTTACACAGTAAAATTTATAACACTAAAAGACATTTAAAAGAATTATTTTTCACTCACAATCCCACCCTCACAACTGCCTTTTCATTTCTCCATGTCTCCCTACGTACTGTTTACACTGCAGCAACTGATTGAACACGTATTCATTCCTGGCCATGATGGACAAGTGTAGGGGAGTCCTGCAGGGTAAACAAGAAGAGGTGTCAGTCAGGACCGGCCCAATTACTCACAGCAGGAGGCGACTAGAATCCTACACAGAATCACCATCCACAAGAAATTCCACATTGCTACATCAGTGTCTTTTTCCACCCTGGCAAACAGTTTTCCAAAACCATCACCAAGTATCAAAGGATAAAAATGGGTTTGCTTATATGTTACCATTTATTCAGTGGCCAGAAGGACAAGAATCAATAAAAAAAAAGAGATATAAAATATTTCCAATTAAATACTGACCTTTACTGATTGTGTATATATATATATACTCATGTTTTTTAAACAGCAGTTTCTATCACAGGTACGCATATTTTCCCCTACAATCCTCTGCAATTCTGAAAAGAACTATTTCTTTCCATAATTCTCTGTTATAGTCAAACACATTTAGAGTGGAAACAGGCAGGAAATGATTAAAGTGGCATTTAACCCCTCTTCACTGCTTTTATTTAGCCCTCAAGGATTCTGAAAGAGACGGCCACTGCAGAGCACAGGGACCCCCAGGCTGGCAACTATCTCAGAGGTACAGACTGCCAGAGTTTACTGATGGCGGGGGGAGGGTGGAGAGGAATCAGCAGGAAAAAAAAAGGATGTAATCATTCTGGGTAATAAAGTTATTACCACATGATATTGAGAGTTCATGGAGATCCATCTTATTAAGTATTTTATCCATCACACAAATCTATCTTCCTATTCTGACAACTTAATCAGAACTCTTGTTTTTCTGAGAGGGTTTTCAAAGTGTAAAATACTGAACTGCTATGATGAAAAGTGAGTCCAACTTACGGTTGGTGATTCAGGTGGATTCACTCCCCCTCAGTGCCTCCTACGCTGCTATCTCAAACACAAGCAGCCCTTTCTTAGATTCTAAACCATAAGGAAACCTCAACTACACATTTCTGGGAAGGGGACAAAAGGAGCACGACACTGCTGTCAAATATGCAAAGGGCTGTACTGTGGAAGGCTGCACACTGCGCCGATAGAATTGTCTAAAGTAGGAGTATTTACAAGAAGGTAGAAGTGGGTTTAACACAGAGAATTTCCCAACTATTAGAAATAGTTGCTTTATCCGAGCAACTCTAACAAAGGTGCTGGAACAAGGTTACCTTGGAGGAGCTGGACTAGATGAGCACTCTGAAGATGACAGAAATTGCTTAAAAATCCAAGGACCTCAGTTGCTCAGGATGGAAATGGTTTTCGCAAATGCCTCTGGCCTCAGTTGTGCCTCTCATTTGTGTAACAAATCAATGTTTGTGATTTCAATAAAAACAGACTGAATAATGCAGAATGAAAGAACATGAAGTCCCTGCCTGCCAGTTACGTGCCACCGTGAAACAACATTCTGGGAATGGCCCTAAGAGCAGCAACGTACCTGCCCTTGCTGTCCTGCATGTTGGGGTTGGCACCAGCTTGCAGCAGAGCCTCTGCAATCTGTGCCATTGCAGACATCACACTTGCTGAGTGTTTCTTTGAACTGTATGATGCCACCAGGTGCAACGGTGTCTCCTGGGCACCCAAGGTAGCAGCACTGACAAGGGCCCCGTTCTTAATGAGGAAAGTGGAAGCGAAGAGATCTCCTTGAAAAGAAATAACAGGAGAAGTGGTCACATGTAACAACACCCAGGGCAAGCTATTCTGGCCAATGTTTCCTCAAAAAGTCACCAGTCAATAACTGCAATAACTGCAGACGAAGAGGGACAACTGGATGTGTCTGAAGTGGAACCTTTTGGGACACCAAAGTGGAAACTCATGGAGTTACACACTCATTTCAAAAGGCTTCATTCAGTTTCTGACTACCTGTGACCTGTCCTGACCCCTCACCTCTGTATCACTTCCCTATTTAAATACACCAGGCTTCTACCCTTCAAAGTCCTCTTCTGGTCATCAACTCTCAAAAAGCATTCTGAGATTTCTTCCAACACAATTTATCCCCCTCTCTCACTTCCTTACCATAGTCTGTACCTGAGGGACACGTACCTCCAACATGCTGCACCTGCATACAGGTTCCTGTTCGGAGTAAGGCCATGTCTGATTTATTTACCATCATTACGAAGAGTCTTTTTTTTTCTCAATCTCATTACATACAAACATAAGTCTTAGCAAGAAGTTTACAAGTGAATATTTGAACAAAGAATCTGTACATATAACTAGTTACAAAAAGAATTTACTTTGTAAATTAACTGGCTGTAAATACAAAACTTCTTTCTAAGTGCCTTCCATTGCCTTAACTCCTAGAGTATTACATGCAGAAGAGTCTAACTAGGACTATTTACAAATACCAAAGTAAGACTGAGTAATTACATAAAGCGCAATAATTTCAACAGCTGAAACCACCATCTTTGACTATTTAGCTCTGTATGAGGGGAAAAACCTACCCTGACATATTGACAGAAGGCCGACAGTTAAGTTTACATAAAGATATTAAAGGTATACAATTCTGAAATTACTTTGTCATATACCAGCAAAGAAAAGCTGACTCTAGATTGGTTCTGTGAATACATGGTTAAATTCAGAACCAAGCAATCTGACAAGTGGAAATTTCATGTTAAAAACACTTGTGGAAAACTAGTTAAAGTATACTTGTCAAGTTAATATGGAGGATGACAGGGATTAAGCAATTAACTTTGTTGTAAGATTACTTAAAGTTCACTATTCCTTGGATTTAGTTCCATTTAAATTAAAACATGCAAACAGTCACTATACATAAAATTAACATTTAAGAAAAAAAGGCAAGAATAACAATGCATCATTAAGATAATAAACTAGTAACGGAGAAATCATCCAGTTATAAATGCACAATGCATGCCTGAGACATTCTGCCTAGCTCGGTGGAAGCAATTATTTCTTTCAGTGGCCTCCAGGTAGTGTCAATTAGCTCATAACTGGGAAGTCTTTCAAATTAAACTCATCCGCCCCTTGTCTAACTTTAGTGGGTGTGCCAGAAAGCATATCTAAGTCATCCCAAGAGCCCATCTGGGATTCAAAGGTACTTTCTGTAGATTCTGTTTCCATTTCACCAAGGTTTATTTATACCAGATAAATTTCTTGCAAATCACATCCTTCTTTAGCTGGCAGATACCCAAAATGCAGAGCAATCTCCTAGGCTGATTTGTGGGTCCCATGATCGTTGATTGTACTTTTTAAATTTGTTGGCGGTCTTGTTGGAATGAATGCCAAGTTGTTAAAGGGGTCTTGGAACTTCTTTACTCTATCGATCACCAACAATAGTGTTCTTTCCATGGTTGCTCTGTTTTGTCTTTGCATCAGGACACCTTCATCTGTTTCTAATTCTGTCCATATCATAGATGCACTCTCCTTTGAACCACAACTTCCAGATGATGATTTTCTCTTGAAGTCACTTATGAGGAGCTTTCTTTTACATCTTGCAACATTATTTCATCTTCAACTATACTTCTACAGCCTAGACATCTGGAAGGGGGCTTAGGATTTCAGGAATGGCAAAGCTCTCAAGTTTGTTATCTATATTCCTATACTCATTTTCATTTGAATATATTGGTTTCATCTGATCTTCAGTAGATACGGAATTTCAAAATCATCTGGTTTTCAACATTTCCCCAAGTACTCCGTGCTTCCTTCTAAGGGACCACGTTGCTGGAGAATGAAAGCTCTGGCAGTGAGGTGGCTAGGCTACCACAGGCCCCTTAGATGCTGATGGGTCCATGTCTGATTTACTTTCCTATCCATCACTGTCTTATGTAAAAGAGGCACCAGGGAAATGTTTGGGAAGAAAAAGGATTGACTGGCCAACGCTATTAGGTTCCACTTTAACACACAGGCTCTAATTCCAATCAGTTATGACTTTAGATACCTGAACACTTCTCTAACCAACCCCTTCTGAAATGTTTTCATTCTTCTGCCCCCATTTTTTTCTTAAGGGTGGGAGAAGGTACAATCTTTACCAACATCACGTGCAAATGACCAAAGCTTAGATTTCTTTACAAATGGATGTCTGTAGAGCTCTGAAAGCAAAAGGTAACATGCATCATCAGGGGGCTAGGCTGGGTCAGGTCTTTGCTATCTACCCATATATACATACATACACATGGTGGGGTTCTTAGTAGGGTCCTAATGTGTAGTGTGAACAAACCCCACAGAGATTCAGTCTAGGAGAGAATAGGTAAAAACAATACATTAGCAATAGATTAAAGTATCGTAGAGAAAGACACATATTCTGGAAGTGGGAAGAAAATTTAGAGTTATTAGAACAAAGAGCCTTAAAATGAAAAGTCTGATATATAAGTTACTAGGGTATTACTATAATGACTTGTCCACATAAAAATATTCCTAACAACACAGTTAACATTAAAAAAAAAAATCCATGTGCAATTTTTCTTTCAACACAGCTTCCTGACACAAGTTTTATTCAGGCAACAAACAGCCAGTAACTTTCATTATTTAATTAATACAAAGTATCTCATGCTGCTCCAGTTGGTGGGATCGCCTGCAAATCTACTACAAACGATAGGAACATCCTATTTAATAAACCCACTGATTGATGTTATTAAAGAAAATAATCACAAAAACAACTAGATTTTTTTAAAAAGCAAGGATTCACCTTCTTGCCCAGATCCGGCTAATCAGAGGAGATGGCATCCTTCCGGCCATATGTATACCTCCTGTGGACTCACCCACAGACTCTGGTTGCCCATTTCATTATCCATACAAACTGATTGGTGTACTTGGTTATTAGAATGACCACTGACGATCCTGTTTATAGATTCTAACGTTGTGTCTAGAATTAGTGTTATATTTCCTACATGAAAGATTTTCAATTATAATAAACTTAAGATTAACAGTTAAATTTAAGTATGTTACTCAATTTAATCATTTGGGAAGGTCGACAGACTGACAGCTCAAGTTGAGGAAGGAAAAGTGAAAAACCTCCTCCAGGAATTGGAACTAGTTGCGGCATTCCAACACTGGGCAAGGGAGGTCTGTGGGCCGACCCTTCCTCAGGGTGGTCACTGTATGACGCGTGCTATGAACAGTGTTTGTCATTCTCCCCACACCTTTCCAGATAAGGAAAAGGGGACTTGAGTGGTTAAGTGACTTGTTCATGATCACAGAATAAGTGGAGGAGCCGGATTATAACCTTGGTCCTGTCCAGCTCCCAAACCAGTCTCTGTCCACCACTCCGTGCCACAGTCTCCAAAGGTAGCAACAACCCAGTTTATCACACCCACACTGTAATCCACAGGCTTGCAGGCAACCGATCAATTCAGAGTGGAAGATTAAATTGTCTGACAACAAGCATCAAAAATGTATCACCAATTCTTGGCAATTCTTGTCACTAAGCAATCACCAAAATATTTAATAACTCATCAAAGATGTTTCTTCATCGCACAAAGGAATTTAACTCCCTAAGAGGAAAGAAACAGAATTCTGAGATTGTTTTTTTAGTAACAAGTCTATTTGTTTCCAAAATAAACATCTCAGACACTGAACAGCATTGGGAAAGAATAATTCCCTATGTGGTGGAAACTTTCCCCACTGAACACACAGCCAGCACTAAGCACCCAATGGCTTTGTACAACAGAGTGATGCTTGGGAAAAATGCATCTGCTCTTGACACTGACGTATTCTACGGATTTCCTTTCCAGTGATGAGCAAAATTTTCCTCTCCATGAGCCAGCAAGCTTAACACTCTAACACATGGCTTAGAGAGATATTTATATTATTAAAATCTTTGCCCAAAAAGGGCAAAGCCACAGTTGCAATAGAACCATATTTGAAGTAACTACATTCCACCAACTGGGAGCAACTTGTGAATGTGAATGGCGAAAGTGTAGCAGAGACAATAACAGTATAATAATGCATGACTGGAAGGGTAAATATACATGATTAAGATGGGGGGAAACCAGTATATTCTGTCTTTGATGTCCACATGTAAACAAAAAAGGGACCACGGCCAAGTACTTCAATCAAGTCATCTCTCCCTCTACAAAATTAAGGCTTCGGCATGTTTGAAAGCTTTCATTCCATCCTGGAACTCGACCTCTGTATAGCTTCCCACTCTGTCAAAAATGACTACTACAGAGTAGAGTCAGCCAGGATCCATTTGAGGCTTAAGAATTAATAAGGCCATGGGAAAAATAAAACAAAATGAAACAGAAGACATGTACGTTTTTCCTCCTCAAAAAGTAAATTCATTAAGATTAAAATGTCTTGATCTTCATTGTACCACTTCCATATTCTTCCTACTACTACTGACTATGTACTCAAAATATCGTACAATTTCATAGAACTTTTCTAAAACAAAAGGAAACTATCACTTTGCCATGACAGACAAGAAGTATGGTCTGTAAAAGTGACAACTCTGAACCCAAGAGTATGTTTAAATATTTGTGGTTTTGATACTTGCCCTTTCTTACAGTAAACAATACCAGTAGAGTCTTCCTAGCACAATTCCTGGAGAAAGTGATACATTGAAGGAGCAAACACATCCATTGTTGACAAGTAAAAGGTCCTTCTCCTGCAAGTACCGTCTCTCCAGCCTTTCTTCTGGGGCCCTGTTGATGCCATGAAAAGCCTAACCAACGAGGCACAGGCAACAGCTCTTCAGCCCCTCCCTGACCTAATGATCACAAATTCTAAATCACGGAGCCTGTGAATACAGACTCAAGACCTTTGAGAATCTGCAGTACAGGATGAGAGAGTCTTTAAAAATTACCTGGATAGAAGTAAAATCGCCCTCAGAGGAGAATATAAAATCCACTTGTTCCTACCTCTTTGGATTCCTTTATGTAACAAGCTCCAGCCCTTCTTGTCCACCATGTCCACATCAGCTTTGTGACTAACCAGCGTGGTGGCAATGCTCTCTAGTTGTCGCGAAAGAGCAAGGTCTAAAGCAAGGTCTCCATTATGATCCAATTCGTTCAGCTTCCCAGGCAGCTGCACAGATAAATTTGTAAATAAGCACCCAACCAATCGCGACCCCGCTGATTTTTATCTCTCCCGCCTTGACTCTTAAATGTCATCTCTTATGCAAATGTCAAATTTTAATGCTGTAACACTGCTTACTCCCCAAATTCCAATGAATTCACACACTTCCCTCAGGCCTCCTCAGGGCACGTACCTTTCAGGGAGCACAGAATTGATGGGGATCATAAAGTGGACGCAAACACCCAGAAGACAATACCAAGGGGGAGATGCAGACAGTGGGTCAGGAATACAAGTGCCAGGGAGCCTGATGGGAAACAGCTAACGTTTTCATAAAAGACTGTGGCTTCACTACTTAATTCCTCTAGCACTTTAATGTCTCTCCCACACACTGGACACCCAGGATAAAACACTACTTTCCCATCTGTCAAAAGCAACTGCATTTCTTTCTTTTTTCTTTTTTTTTTTTTTTTAAGATTTTATTGAGGGAATTGGGAGAGGGGAACAGTGTTGGGAAATCGGGGAAGGGGAACAGACAAGTTGCTGTCCTTTTGTTCTTCAGTCTAGTTGTGGAGGACGTTGCTTCACTGGCCCATGTTGGTATTATCATTGCGCTCTTCCTGGGTGAGGCAGATGGGTCGCCAGCCTCTGGACGGCCGCTCATGGCGACTGCCGGCCACACACGATAGCTTATGGCAGCCCACTACAGCAGGGGCTGCAGCCTATGCCATCGCCAGCGACTCCTGGCAGCCCAGCTCCAGGTCGAGCTGTTGTTCACCATCTTAGCTGTAGAGGGCGCAGTGTCACTGGCCCCATGTGGGATCTGAACGAGGGGCCCCGCTGCTCAGAGCTGGCGTCCGAAGCCAACTCTTAATCAACACGCCACTCGGCTGGCCTGCAACTGCATTTCTTCTAAGGCAATGTGGTAGGCAGAACAATAGTTCTCAGAGATGTCGGTGTCCTAATCCCCAGAACCTATGACTATGTCACCTTACAGGATGAAAGGCCCTTTGCAGATATGACTAAGGTTAAGGATCTTGAGATGGAGAAGAGTATCCTGGATTATCCAAGAGGGCCCAGTCTATCTAATCACATGAGTCCCTACAAGTGAAAGAGGGAAAGAAGAGCAGGTCGAAGAGACAAACACTCTTCCCCATGATAATCCAGAGGCCTGATCCTTCTAAATGTCACCCAAAACTAGGCCGCTTGAAGTTTCCAGTGACATGGGAAGAACTTGATCCTCCAGGATTGGCTTTTAAATGGAGGAAGGGGGCCAATGTGGCAGCCTCCAAAAGCTGAGAACAGCCCTTAGCTTACAGCCAGCAAGAAAATAAGGACATTGCTGCTATAACCACAAGTCACTGAATTCTGCCAACAACCCAAACGAGCAAGAAATGGATTCTCCCCCTAGAGCCTCCAGAAAGGAACACGGCCTGCTGACACCTTAATTTTAGACAGGTGATGCCTGTACTGGACTTCCAACCCACAAAACTGTAAGATAATACATTGTGCTGTTTTAAGCCACTGGGTTTGTGTTAATTTCTTACAGTAGCAAAAGAAAACGGAAACAGATTTTGGGTTTTGCTGCAACGACTACCTACAAATGTGGGAGTGGCTCTGGAATTGGGCAATGGGCAGAGGCTGGAAGGATTCTGAGAAGCACGACAGGAAAAGTTCAGACTGCCTTGAACAAACTACTAGTAGAAATACTGCATTAAAGACTGTGCCAGTTAACGGCTCAGAAGGAAGTGAGGGGCATTACAGAGAAAAACAAGTTTAGTGTAGTTTGGGGAAAAGGCAAGAAAAATGGAGAAAACAGCTCAGTACCTGTGAATCCATTTCAATTAGATAAAGGAACACCACGTCTTCTCTCTCCACTTTGATAGCTTTATGCAGTGGGTACTCAGTCTTGGATTTGATCATTTTGTACAATAACTGAGCACTCATGCTGCTGAAGTCCTCCTTTCGTAAGTCATCCTAAGGATTAAAAAGATAGTGAAAAGCAGAAGAGATTCGAAGCACCAACAATAACAACAACTGACATTTACTAAGAATCCCTTAGAATGTGCCTGGCCCTACTTTAAAGGGCTTAACATTTTCCAACTCATTTAATCCTCACAAAAGCCCTATGAGGTAGGTACTGTTATCATCCCCATCTTACAGATGAAGACAGTAAAGCGTAAAGAGGCTAAATAACTCGCCCAAGTTCACACAGTGATAAATGGCCGAGCCAGGAGGTCCAGCCCCCAAGCCTGCACTCTTTGCTACAGCACTGCTGGCCTCTCGGTGAGAAGGTAAAGCACAGGCAACACTGACATCCAACAAGGACGCAGCCACCAGGAGCCCTTCAAAGAGGACAGAGTCGCCCCTCCACCCCACGGAGGTGGCAATTACAGAATTAATCGGAACTTGCACAAACATTTCACTCCACCGAGTCACAGTTGGTTTCTAGTATTGCAGGTCTCTAAATTTTTACCTATTTTAGCAGAAACATTACCATTTGTTTCAATTCTTTAAAATCCAGTTCTTTTAGACACTTTTGCTCACAGCTGTTGAATATCAAACGTTCACAGAAACTAGGTTGTAAAACATAGCACCAGCCATGATTAAAAAAAAAAAAAGCAAACCAGACAACATAGCAAAGAAATGTAAAAACTGTTCTTGATGATGAGAGGTTCCTAAGAAGGGCAGATCTGAACCTAACAGTGCTCTCTCCCCACACGATGGCTCAGAGCCACAGCTTCTGCAGACAGAGGGAGAAAGCAGGTGTACCCGCACCAAGCCTGTGTCTTGATCTGAGCTACCTTCTGCCTTCTACTTTGAAATCAGAACTACAAGACTTTTGGAGCCAAAAAGAATCTCGCAGATCATGTAATGCAACGACTTAACTTTCAATTTTGTAATAAGTGGAAACCAGGCGCCAGAGGTTAACTCTCAATGGATCCGAGTCCCAAGCACAGGTCTTGATTTCCAGGAAGGGTGCTTCACCCTCACTCTCTCTCACTCACCCAATGACTCGCAATAATTTCTGCACAGTAGTTCATCAGGGTGCTGGCATTCAGTTCCTCCGCAGTCTGATAGAAGCGAATACAGTTCCTGACATTCACCAGAGACATGACACCCTTCTCACATCTACAAGAGAATGTTAGCGATGAACAGTATTATTGGGATAAATATATTCATAAATAACAAACCAAAGCAATAATCATGTCCTGACGGCTATGTCCAATAACACTGAAGTGTAAGGTTAAGCAAAGTAGTTAGCAATAAATTAGAGCTGAGCTACCATATTTGAAAAGTACTAGAATTTCATTATGATATTACATTGCTCATTCTGGCCAGAATCAAAATAACCTGTAAATAAACATGTTAGGCACAAGCCCGCAGCTACCTTAAAAGTAATCCCATGAAACTTGCTGATCATATATCCAGGCAACTGTAAACTCCAACACACAGTGGGTCAAATTCAGTCCTTTGATATTTAATCATGGGACACATCTGCAGTTCCCACTAACACAACTCTATTATGCAACCAGTGTGGCTTAGAAGTAGCTTCAAACATGAGGCGCTCTGCCTCAATAAATTAACACCTCCTTAATAGTCCTCCCAAAAGGTGAACTGTTTGGTATGTGAATTATAACTCAATAAAGCTGGTTTAAAAGCCCACTTTAAAAATCTATTATGTATAGGAACAATTAAGAGTCAAACTGGAATATACCAAGGCAGTGAAAAACTGGCTACAATGGATGTCCCATAAAGCCTGGTAACAACACTATTCACAATCACTAATAAGAGAACCCCAACTATATCAGGGAAGACAGGGCTACACACAGACAAGGAGGCACACACCCTGGCTTAGAAGATGCAGTGCTGGGAAGATCCAGGCTTCCACTACCCCAGGATTCCTGGAGACCTCAGCAAGCCTCCACAGAACTGAGGCCAGTGGCATGGTCCTTCCATCTCCCGGGCCTGCGCATCTCTCTACAAACCAGATTCATCTCCAAGGACAGCACAGAGGCCTGATATAGTGTCAGGGGGTATTCCCTGACACCCCACCACTGCCTCCTCTGTCCCTCAGTTCCCCCCCAAAACCCTTTTCTGATCACATGAGCTCTCTGTGCTCCTATATCCTACTTTGTAAAGTAAGGATAATACTTTATATTTCAGAGGTTTTGAGATCTCTGTGTGTTTTTCAAGATAAAGGAAAACTTTGCACAGTATAAGGTAAGTTTGCGGTCCTCAAGGAAGTAGCATTAATTTAATAACTAATATAAGTGGGTTTCAGTTCTATAATAATTAATAACTGATTGGCTAGCAGATAACTTCCAATTTTAACAGGTGAGGTTTAGTTAACACAAGTGGAGAAAGACCATTGGAGTAGGAAATGGGGGGGGGGGGGGAAGGAGTGTCATGAGAAAGACCCTGGAAGCATGAGGAACAAACTTTCAATACCTCACAAATGAAACTTTAGCCTTCGAGCAAGAATAATCTTGGAGTCATTTCTTCATTTAGCAGTAAATGCAGGCATCTGTTTTATTCTAAGACCTATGTTTAAGGGCTTTGTTTTTAAGTAACATAGCTGACTACTTGGTGTAAAGAAGCATCTCCCCCAGGGCACTTTTAAATCAAATTGTTACAATATCTAAATAAGTTACTATAACAAAGTAATAATGTTACATTTTGAGCCTCTGTGGCCTGTACCACTAGTTTCAGCAAACCTGCACCCTACCACAGCGATGTTTGTCAAGTCATTCTGACCTCTGGCTCTGAAATCAGAACATTTCAGAAGAAAAGTTCTCTTTTCTGATACATCAAACTTTCGCCACTTTTACAAGGACAAACATCTGCGATCTTGCCATTCTGACATCCTAACACGTGATATGATCTCAGGGAGCACTGACTCACCTTTGCAGAGCACTTTACAAAGCACTTTTACAGACAATGCTGAGAGTCTGAAAATCCCATTCTCCTGCTTTCTACTGCCAAAAGACACTGCACCAAGATAGTCAACTATGTTTCACAAGGACAGCTGTTTTGCTGCAACTGGCAGACACTTCATTTTCACTAAACTCTGGGATCCCCAGAGTGTCATTCACATTTTGGAGAGGCTATAAATAATAACTGACATGATTTCCACAACTGAAGAACATGTACTTTTATTGTACAATTCAGATTCTCAGTTCATATCTTCTCTTTGAAAAGAAGCAAGGGAGACTACCTTTCCTATGAAGGGATTTTGTTGTTAATACATGTTTTTAATTTTAGAGTACAAAAAGGATACAGATGCACAAAAACAACAAACCTAATTTTAAAAGTACAAAATCAAGGATATATTTAAGTGGCCCACAAACTCCTGTCTAGTTTTGGTATCGATCCCATGTATATGAATATGAGACAGAAAATCATTGAAAACATAAACAACAAAAGGCTAACAGTAGTTGAACTATGAACGACTTAAGTTTTTTTCTTTATGTCATTCTATATTTTCCAAATACCATACACTGAACATGTATTTTATAATCAGGGGAAAAAATAAGCATATTGTCACTTTTTAGCATACACTATTAATTCTTTTTTTAAAGAGTATTTTCCTGATAATACTTACCCAAAAAAAACAAACCCTTCTTTTTCATCAAATTGGTGATTGCATTCCCAAACCACCGAGATCCCTACATCACAAAAATGACCAACACGCACTTCATAATGCACACATTTGTGTCACAGCCCTTTCATGTACTATCTCAAATGTGTAATTTCTCCTGTAAACAGCAGTGGGCACTCTGTGACCTTTTAAAAGCCAACATGTGAATCCACTCCCGGGTCTCTTCCATCCCAGCTCTTAAAGCCCTGACAGATAACTTAATGCCCACATCCAACAATACAAAATTGAGCCTGGTAATGTTGATAGTTATGAAGCCTAATCAGTCAATAAACAACAAGCATTTTAATTAAAGAATCCATTACACAGATTACAATTATCTAAACTACTCCAACTCCAGGGCATTTTTATCAAAACAATTTAATTTACAAGGAAGTTTGACAAAGTCAATAGGGGAAAGCTCAGGAAATCTAAAGAGAGGGAGGGAGGGAGAGAGGGGGAGGGGGGAGAGGGGGAGAGAGAG